CCGTTCTGGCCACCGTCTTGGCCTCCGTTCTGATCACCTCCCTGACCTCCGTTCTGATCACCTCCCTGACCTCCGTTTTGATCACCGCCTTGGCCACCTTGGTTGCCGCCGTTCTGGCCACCCGCTTGACCTCCATTGTTACCGCCCTGGCCACCCTGACCTCCGTTGTTACCTCCGTTGTTACCACCATTGTTACCACCATTGTTACCACCATTGTTACCACCGTTGTTACCACCGTTGTTACCACCGTTGTTACCACCATTGCCACCTCCGACGGTGATACGGATGCAGTCATCCTGTGCTCCTCTCTGAGCAACAGGCATGAGGACAGGCTGATGGTTGGATGCGGCAGACATACTGCAGATACGGTAGTTACCGGCAGGCAGACCGCCGTCAACCTTGGCGGTGAGGAGACCTTGGCCGTTACCAGCATCGTTGATACCCTTGAAGAAGGCAAACTGCTGAGGGTCCAAAGGCTGAGTAGGGTTCAGACTATCGCCAGTGTCCTGAACAGTGACGTGGGTATGGCCGATGATGTTACCACCACCGTCGAGGTCCTGAGGAGCAGAATAGTAGGTGGTTGTTGCATTAGTGAACGAGCCAGGTGCAAAGTTGATAAACTGTACGGAGATATCAAAGTCTTGATTGGCTTCAACGTTGTCACCGTTTTGAGGCGATGTGAAGACTGAAGAAACCATGTTGTTGGCTCCAGGAATCTTTCCCATAGCTGTAGGAGTCAGTATATGTAGAGAGGAAAGAGGGAATCGTAAAACTTACGAATACCGTTACATGAGCCGTCTCGGTTTTGCTCTCCATTGGTAAGTGTCTGACCAGCACAGAAGTTGATGAAGTTGTTGTTATCCCTAAGTCATGTTAATGGTAGTTTTTTCTCAAAGTTAGATGTGACCTACGTTGCTGAGGCAGCTTGCTCATCCGATCCGGGGTTGTTGCCATCTTGCTGCGAACCAGTTTGCACGGCGTTGGCGTCCAGAGTGTTGCCGCCGCCACCGCCGCCTCCGTTATTACCACCGTTGTTGCCGCCATTATTGTTGCCGCCATTGTTGCCGCCGTTATTGCCCTGGCCGCCGTTGTTTCCGCCATTGTTGCCCTGGCCACCGTTGTTGCCGCCACCGCCTCCTCCACGGCCACCACCTCCAAATCGACCGCCGCCGAATTGTCGTCGTTGGAGAGCGCGAGCCAGGGGGTGTCGTTTTTGGACAACAGCAGCTTCTGTAATGGCAGAGATGCCCAGAAGAGCAATGATTACGCCTTTGACCTGCATTGTGATGACTTTATGTTGATCTTGCCGAGAGAAAGTGAAAAAGGAAATGAAGCCGAGGGCAAATACAATGTTGTATAAAAGTTTTCGAACGGTGCCAGACCAATTCGAAATAAAGAAAAAAGAATGGTCACAGTAAAGTCAACTTGGTCTCAAAGGAACGAATGAAAGAAAGAGACACTACCAGAGCTGAAGAGAAGAGAAGATGGTACGATTTTGGGACGAAGGGACGAGGGTTTAAAGCATCGGGGAAAACTGGAGATGATGATCGGAAACGAAGATGCCGAGAAAAGAGGCTGGCTTTCATTATGACAATCCCAGACAATTCAACGTCTCGGGCTTGCACATCAGACCGGATGGCATCTGGGCGGTTGAAGGGGCCCGGTTCAGGGTCACAACGCCATGGACGACGGCTGAAGCGAGCAATAGTACCCAAGATCCATCTCTCGCTTGAGAGGCAAGGGGGCAGCGATCAAACTTGATGAGAAACACCAAGACAGAACATCGTGGAACACAGTGACAGCACTAACTGCCTAGGACATCTGAGACCGAGAAACGAAAACATGAGACAGCGGCAGACGCGACCTGACGTCTTGGCCAAGAGGTCCAGAGATGCCTGTTCGGGCTGGGCTCTCAGTTAGTCAGGGCAGGTCGAGATGATTGTTCTCAGGTGGTGTAACAGGGACGTTGGAGAATGTTAGTCGATTGTGAGCGAGTGTAGTGTATTTCCTTAGCGCTTGGCTAATCTTGGCGGACGGTCATATCTCCGAGAGGCGATTGAGTGAGTATGTAATAGTAGGGATCCAAGTTAGGAGTTGACGTTGGAGATGAGATGCGGCTGTAGACGTCTCAGCCCGTGCCCCCTCCTTCCCAATTGGTATTGTGTAACTGGTTGCGCAGCCAATCAGAGTATGCACTGACCTGTACCTGCAGTTAGTTGCCAGGGGTGCCTATAACTCCAAGCACAGCGCGTTTCGTCCACTGAAGCTCGAAACTACCATTGTTAAGCGCGAGTGTCGGAGAGTGTCCGCCCTGTAACGGAAAACTCATCAGCCAGATCGAGAGAATCTGATGAATAATAGACGATGCCCTCTCTGGGATGGGGAATTTTGTAATTGTCGACCTGGCTCGTCCACTATCATCTGCGTGGTTATTCGTTCTGTTTCTAATGCCTAGGTAACTGATAATGCCAAGAGAGCAATACTAACAACCCTAGCTATACTACTATATCATATCACCATATATGCTCACGAATTACTGTCAACAGGTTATCGGAGATTCAGAAAGATTCTTCACTTATTACACTCACAAACTCAGGCATATTGAGTTCAGTCTAATCTCATCCAGACTTTTCACCCAGATCTAAGCTCTATCCAACCAGTTCTCATGACTGACAGACAAGTTGGAGGCGTGTTGCAGATACGTCGCAGACTAGCAATAGCATGAATGCCCTACATTGGCGTTGCAACCACGAGGTAGCATCCAAACAGTGCCCTGTAACCGGACCTGTAACAATATCTCACTCAGTATCACGATTGTATTTTAAGCTTACAATATCGATAAGACATTCTCGGTTTCCCCAAAGTTCCTGTTTCATCCGCATTTTTGCAAAATCCTTCAGCAATTGTTGACTGATCACTCGTCTCAGGCTTGGAGTGACACTGGATGAATCATGATCACGAAGCGAGCCTGAATCATTCAATTCTCCTAAGTGAAATGATGTCATGTTTTGAAATTCTGGGCCAAGGCGCATTGATTCCACATGGCATTTCGTGGTCTTGGCATTCTCTGTTGAAGATATCGTGTAGATATCGCGGAGCATCAAATAGCCCAAGTTTATGATAAAAAAAAGGGTGCATTCTCAAAGACCATACCACATTCATTCATAAGAAGCTACCAGCTGCATAAATGTCCAGAACATTCCAATTTACATACACAATAAATCAGAGCTCCTCGGACATCTGCTTCTGCTCAACATCCTTGTAAGCCTCCACGATCTTGTCCAGCCAGGCAGCCATTCTGTAACCGGCCTTGGCAACCTGCTCCTCAATGACAGGGGCAGCCTTTTCAAAGTACTCGCCCCCGAGTTCCTGACCGACAATGGCATCGGGACCCTCGGGCAGAACTGTAGATCCATGTTAGAGACGAGTTGCGAATACAGCTGCTGCTGCTGGGGTAATCGACATACCGTGAGTGCAGACGAGCGCATTGGCCTCCCGGGACCAAGCAAGTGCCGTGCTGATGGGGTCACTGAAGTCTAGATCCTTCAACCACGCGTCTTTCGCCTCCGCGAACTTGCCGTCTGTGATCTCAACTGCAAGCTGGTTGGCCCAGTTGTTGGCGAGCTTGAAGGGGTCGCCGTGCAGACCACCCAACAGCTTCTCAGCAATAGAGCTGTCCCAGACGTGGTGGAGGTTGAATGTGCGGCCATCAAACGTTACTGAGAGACCGTTGCCTCCCTTTTCGACATCTTCGTTATGTAGAGGCTGGTGAAGATCTCCGATAAAGTGAACAACGAACTTGGCGGCCTGGTTGCGCTGCCAGAAGGGCAACTGAGGCTCAACTGATTGCTGGGTGTAGTTCTTGAGGGCGGTGAGGACACAACCATCGTCCTTGCAATCACGCTCAAAGTCGACGTCACACTTGTTAGGAGGGCTGTCATGAGCGTCGATGAAGTGAAAGGTTTTGGTGTATCGACCCCAATCTGTGTAGCGAATCGAGTCGGCCCATGATGCTATTTTTGCGAGGTAGTCTTCCTCGTCATTATAGAGAATATACTTGAGGTGAGCCTCGGTGGTGTTTGCGACAAAGTGACTGGCGAGGTAAGCGGTGGTGATATGGCCGAGACCTGTGATGTGTGAGCTTATTAAACAATTGTTTTATGATGAATTAATGAACTCACTGCCCCAAGCAAAAGTGCCAGGCAAGTTAGCGAGGCCAAGAGCCAGCGCGCCAGCTGAGAGGAGCTTCATCATAACAGAATGAGGGCGGTCGCTAGATCTGAAGCTATGGAATGCAGTGGGTTTATCAGTCACAAAATGAAGGGGACAGAATCAAACTTTTAAGAGGGAAGTGAAGATGTTAAAAGATGAACACGCTTAAGCTCAAGGTTACGGAGTAGAAAGAGGCGAATTCTAGATTGGACCAAAGCGTTTGAAGCTGGAGAGCTGAGCGCGAAGCGGTTGGCTAAGGCTGCCTATGTTTACGTTAGTCCTGGAGCACGATCGATAGTTGCTCATGAGTTGTCAGGGGTCTAGCTACTGGAGGCGGGATAGGCAAGCTTACGGCGAATCATGGTGGGCATGTGCCGCTCTACGGTGAAACATTGAAAGTGGCTGGGAAGAATGGAGCTGAGGCCGCTGAGATTTGCTCTAGTTTGGGGAGCTGAGGTTGATGGTTTATCATAAAAGCAGTAGAGTTATGCAAAGTATTTAGACTAGGGGTTACTGCATGAGTTCTCAATACCATGAGTTTAGTTCATATGTGCTTGCACTGGATGGATAGTACTATCATGATAAGAGTCAATCGGCCTCTTATCGAAGATAGACCCTGCATCTCACAGGACAGGCTCACACAAAAAGACTCACGCGCCTTGGAATGGCTGCGAGTTCTCCATATTTTAGCTCACAAGATCTCCAAGCCCAGTGCGTCACTTTGAACGATAAGCGCTCCTCAACTGGCCAATACACGATGACCAGTTACCAAACGGATCGATAAGACCTCCACTGTTGAACCCGACAACGGGACTGACCTGGGGATCTCCTTATCTGAGTCTGTGTCTGCAGTGCTTTGCCTTGCTTGGGTTTGGTATGGTTAAACGTTGTTCGTGGAACATTAAACTTTGTTGCTTATTGAAATATTTTTGCTCTATCTTACTCCTTCTTGTCTTCAGACGGCAATCAGAAGAACAAGCTCTGAATCTTGACCAGGTTTCGAGTAAACTCTGAATCAGAACAGAACCTCTTCTGGAATTGGATCTACATTTACTTGCTTACTCGCTTCCTACACTCGATCTCTCTTTGTAGCTGGCTGCCCTCGTGATACCCACCTTTGTCGCACCACCCTCTTCCTCTTCTACTTGATCTGATCTACCTTATCTAAACTTCTTCTCATTCTCCTTCTCCTTCTCGATTTACCCTCTTCAACTCCTTCGAAAACGACGACGATGCCGCTGCTGGCTTCAACCTCAATCGCCGCTGCGGCGCATGCGTTACCGGTCACGTTGGCTCTGTCGGGCATTTTTGGTAGCATCAGCTTGACCTCTTGGATATGTCTCCTCGTGCGTCCCTCTCTCTTCTCTCATTCGCGCGTCCTTGTGTTGCATTCGCATCCGCGATCTCAATTGCATGCGCGACCCTTAATTCTCCCCCATCTTGGCTAACGATGCTCTGCAGTTACCCCAATTGTTCGCCAATTACAAGGCCAAGAGCGCCGATGGCCTCAGCATGGCCTTTCTGGTCGTCTGGCTCTTGGGCGATATCACAAATCTCATCGGTTAGTTCTCATTCCTACCTAAATCCCCCAAAATCAAAATTTGTCTTGAGCACAGAGACAAATACCATTGCTACGCCATTGTCTGACGCCCTGGTCAAAAAATTTGACGTCGGCTAGAAGTGGCTTGCCACCACGCCAACTTTCAGTTTGGCTAACTGCTTTCTAGGAGCCTTGTTCACCCACCTAGCTCCCACTGCAATTGCCCTGGCAGGATACTTCTGCATTGCCGATATCGTCCTCATCGGCCAGGCCGTCTACTACAATGCCCTTAATGCCCGCCGAGCGAGTCGCGCCGGGGAACGTCGATCAAGTGATCCTACAGAAGAGTCTCCTCTGATCAACGGGTCCCGTAGACGCAGCTCTTCTTTTGGCCTCCCTGGGTCTCAGCGCCGCCATGCGACACATACCGAGTCCTCGATGGACCCATTGAGGAAGATTGTGACAGGCGAAGACGAAACCCCCGATAGCAAGCCTTGGCTTCACAACACCCTGAGCCTGCTCGCTGTATACGTCATTGGGTTCGCTGGCTGGTTTGTCTCGTACAAGGTCGGTGCCTGGGAGAGCGGTGACCCTGGTACCCCCGACGCGCCTGAGGAGGCCCAGAGCCCAATGGAGCTTGCTGGACTTATTCTGGGATACATCAGCGCAGCGCTCTATCTCTGTGCTCGAATTCCCCAAATTATCAAGAACCATCGGGAAAAGTCATGCGAGGGTATGTTGATCCATGCTTGCAGTCAATGGACGAGACTAATAATCTGCAGGTCTCGCATTGCTTTTCTTTATGCTCTCAATGAGCGGAAACCTCACTTATGGTATCAGCCTGGTAGCCTACTCCCAAGACAAGAAGTACTTGCTGAACGCGCTTCCTTGGTTGCTTGGCTCTCTGGGCACCATTGCTGAGGATCTCATCATCTTCGTCCAGTTCCGAATTTACTCCAACGATGAACGAGAGAGCGCAATTGAACCTTAAATCGCGATCGACAAGACAAGACATGGCAATCAAGTTTTGAGACGGACGGAGGGAGGTTTTTGGAGGTTCTAATGTGCATGAACTGGCGTTTCATTCATTCATATGCGTTGCATTTGAGAAATTGGTTACATGAAGGAAGGGTGAAGCTTGAACAAGCTCACAATCAATACTGGGACATCCTCGGGATAGAGGTGCATGACATAATGCTTCGGGTCGAATTATAACTCTTCGGAGGGTTTTTCTTACTTATCAGTTCAATGAGTCTTTTAAAATGTGTTTTGCCAGTCATTAATAAACGTTCTAGATGCGACCAATTGAAAAACTGAAGCTTTTAATTCGACGATAAACTCGACCCATGCATGAGAGCATTCTCATGCCATAGTGGGGTTACACTTGTTGAAATTCGGCGACTCAGCTCCGATGACGGGGTCGGAAGTTTGGCGGGGTTATATACTACTCGGTACTTTCATTAGACTCACTCGCTTCAACGCCAAAATTTAAACATCAGCAACCTCCCAACGTATCTTTGACTGAGTCTCTTGACCTCTCCCCCGTCAAGAGTCTCTCATTGATTCTATAACATATATACACCGACAATGGCTTCTCAATTCCCTACCAAGAAGTGCGGTATGTCGCCGTCAATACTCCCCCTCCATCCGATTTCGCACCACTATCTCTTCTCATGTCCACCTCTACACACGTATCAAACATCAAATGCTAATTCATATATAGGTGTTCTCGGCGCCACTGGCTCTGTAGGCCAGCGCTTCATCCTCCTCCTCGCTCAGCACCCATACCTCACCCTCCATGCCATCGGCGCCTCATCTCGCTCTGCCGGCAAGAAGTACAAGGATGCCGTCCGATGGAAGCAGGCCGCGCCCATGGGCGATATTGCCGAGATGGTTGTGAGAGAATGCAAGGCTGAGGAGTTCAAGGACTGTGATGTTGTCTTCAGTGGCCTTGACTCTGACGTCGCTGGCGATATTGGTATATCCCTCTCTGTCACGTATCAGCAATAACTGATCACTAACTTTATGTGTCTACAGAGCTCGAGTTCATCAAGGCCGATATTCCTGTCTTCTCTAACGCAAAGAACTACCGTCGCGATCCTCTCGTGCCTCTCGTCGTTCCCACCGTCAACCTCCCCCATCTCGACCTCATCCCTCATCAGCGCTCTGTTCGCTCTCTCAACAAGGGTTTCCTCGTGTGCAACTCCAACTGCGCTGTCATTGGTCTCGTTATTCCCTTCGCCGCTCTCCAAGCCGCTTTCGGACCTATCTCTACCGTCTCCATTGTTACTCTGCAGGCCGTTTCTGGTGCCGGTTACCCTGGAGTCTCCAGCATGGACATCATCGATAACATTGTCCCCTTCATCTCTGGCGAGGAGGACAAGCTCGAGACTGAGGCCCGCAAGATTCTCGGTCGCATTGACGACAAGGGAACTGCTTTCATTGAGCAAGAGGGGCTTCGTGTCTCTGCCACTTGCAACCGTGTTCCAGTCATGGACGGCCACACTGCATGTGTTAGCTTGAGCTTCGAGCGCAAGCCTGCTCCTTCAGCTGAGGAGGTTCGCAAGGCTCTCCGAGATTACAAGAGTGAGGCTCAAGCCCTCGGATGCCCTTCTGCACCTGAGCCTGCTATCAAGGTCTTTGGCGACGATGAGCCTGATCGTCCTCAGCCCCGTCTGGACCGTGACCTTGGCCGTGGATACACTGTCAGCGTCGGCCGTGTTCGCGAGGATGAGGCTGGCATTTTTGACATTAAGTTTACTGCCCTGAGCCATAACAGTGAGTCTTACAACTTCCCCTCTGAGGACTTATCTCAGACTGACTGTTCCAGCCGTTATTGGTGCTGCTGGTTCGTCGATATTGAACGCAGAGGCCGCCATTCTCAAGGGATACATCTGAAGGTACAGGGTACAGGGGATTTTAAAAAACAATTCGGTTATATAAAGATAAAAATAGACAATGGTATTTGTTTGGCGTTCAGCATTATCTCAATCCCTGCAAATATGTAACCTCACAAAACAACAGGAAAACTAAGAAGCGATGTGAATTGCTATTTATTCATGATGGTCCGTAAAGTACATGCAACAGCCGACCATGAGGGTATACCATATCTATTCCTACCCCAGCGCAAGTGTCGTGACACCAATCATTGCGCGATCCATTGACTATAACCAAATTCAAATATGTGATATTCTAAAGTCCCAGTAATCCATGCTGTGCTCTGTATCCCAGTGCGCTAGCTATCCATCCATTGCGCCAAATAATAACCAGAAAACTCCAAAGGTATACAAACAAAACGTTATGTCATATGGCTCGGCGCCCATATAAAGCAGGGTATCTGTAGCATCATCGGCTACGATCCTCGGGAGAGGGGGACCTTGCCCTGCCAAGGCCACTGGAGAAAATACTGAGCCAACCATCGTGTCGACTCCATCGCGAAGTTCGGGTTTCGTTGGTAAGCAACCCTTGTTCAAGATCGGATTCACGGTCATCAGAACGAGAGCCAGAGCCCTCCGCAATAGTTCCATCGTCATCGTCATCATCGTCATCACTTGCATCGTCGCGATATGGTTCATAATGCGGCTCAGATGATGAGCCATGAGCAAGAGATCGAACCACGTCGCCCTTGCAGATGGGGCAAGTTCGTCGGCGAGTCGTCAACCAGGGAGTACTATAGACTGTTAGTAAATGAGACTTGCAAGCATGTATTTGGAGCACTTACATGCACTCTACGTGAAACTCGTGACCGCACGGGAGGCTCATGACCTGGCTCACGCCGTCGACGTATTCTTCAAGACACACCACACATTCGACTTGACGACCCATGTACTTTTTCCACTCAGCAGAAAACCCACCAGAGCCCTTCTCGCGCTCAGATCGAGCATTGTTCCTGGTTGGATTTGAAGGTGTTGATATGGCGTCACTGGATCGCGTTTCTTCTTCAGGAGTACCCGCTGAGCCCCTCGACCGAGGTCGTGCCCGTGAGGGAGATTCCTGTAGTAGAGGAGTGGTTGGTGTCGGAGCGGACGGTGAAGGAGTTCTCGGTGTCAAAGGCGGCGAGGGAGCGACTGTGTGGAAGGTGCGCACGGGTAGGCGTTCAACGACTGACTTTGGGGCTCTCCAGCGCCTTCGGCGGATTCTAGCGCGAAGAATCAAAAGGGCGTATACGAAACTCAGAGTGACTAGCGGGCTGACGACCAGTACGAGAAGCGTATCGAAAAACGGGCTAGCATTACTCGTGGGAGTGATGGTGACCCAAAGTCCATCGTGTGCGTCATCGTCAGCTTTACCGGGCTCGTCATGTCCCTCTTCGCTGCGTTCGTGGGAAAAGTCGAGCACGTTATCCTCATCTTCTGTCAAGAATTCAACCAGAATTTCTTCCTCATCGGGTTCAGGATCGTCGTCGCTTGTGCGATCGCGAACAAGGGAAGTCTTTGATGGAATAACAGGCTTAAACCTTCTGGATTCAGGATGCTTCCAATCGTCGTAGTTATCCTCAGATAAGAGGGGGCTTCGAATTTCTTTGGGTGACCCTCTGACAGCCTTGTTTTTCTTGGTGAATGTTTTCCTGGAATATCTCAGCGCTGTCTTTCGCTTTTTATTAGTTGGTTTGGTAGATCGTTCTTCAATTTGGCTGTGGCTGTCGTCGGCAGATCGTCTATCGTGGGTCGAGGCGGTAACCGTGGACTTGACGCCTTGTTTACTGTGCTTCCTCGACTTGGGACCTCTTTGAACTCTAAGAACAGGATTGCCTTGGTTGTCTAATGTATCTTCAATGAAGCTCCCTGGTTGCGTTAGCGCAGACAGCAGCTGCGCGGTCGTGCGAGCAGTGAAGACGGATGGGATGGTGACATTATCAACTTCAGGGCCATGCGCAAACATCTGAATAAGAGGGCCGCCTTTCTGGTTATCGCCAACAATGACGGCGAGAGCGCCTCTTCGCTGCGCCCACATTACTTTGTCGAGAAAACCGCAACCGCCTCGCATTAGTAGCGCCACTTTGCCGTCGATTTCGGAATGGTCATGCATGACAGAGACATGGCTGGAGGTGGTGTGACCATTGCCAGCGTTGGGGATAACGACTCGGCTTCGCTTAGCACGGACAGAAGTGCTGGACCTGGAAGTCGAAATAGAAGGGACAGCAGCCCTCAAGGCCTTGTGCAGAGCAATGGCCTCTGCTCTCTCGTTCCATCCTGGTGTGTCGCTGCAGCCCAATTCGCCGGTACCGTGTATAAGAGCATCCTCTGCGAAACCACTGCCCACCCATAACTGACCACTTAGACCTCGCATAGCGAGCTTGGGACCAAAAGCGGCGGGACGGGCGGCAAAGGAAGTGCTGTTGTCGTCGGTCAAGCTGATGGCAGCATTTGGTGGAAATAATGAAAATGGGGTGTTGTAGTACATGGAGTTCCAAACGGACTTTGGAGACTTTTCTGAATCATCACCATGCGACCGAGACTGAGACGACTTGGAGTCAGTCTTTTGTCTGGACCTGAAGTTACCAGCGGGGTAATCGGCGTATGCGGTACGAAGCGAGGATGATATAGCGCGACAGAAGAGGAGGAGAGACGCTGCGATAAAGAGTATAAGAACAAAAACGCGCGGAGGACGCATCTTGAGCGACTGTACAAAAACAAAAATTCTCCAAAAAAAGGTAAATGGAGAAGAGTATGGGAGAGAGAGAAGGAAGGAGGAGGAGGAGGAGGAGGATAAAAGAGAGAGAACGAGAGGTTGGTGTTGGTGAGCTGAGGTGTGAGTGAGGTGACCTTGGGTTCGGTTTGGGTTTGGGCTTGGGGTCACTCGGAGATATACAAGTCACATAAACCAAAGACGTCACCTTTGGTCTAGGCCGATCATCCGTTGGTTAGTCACTCTCTTTTTGTTTTTGGAGAAGAGGAGGAAGAGAAAGGAAGTGAAGCTCCGATGGTGGTACGCGGAGACGAGGGAAACGTGAGAGAGAGAGAGAAACTATGACATGGCCTAGGTCAGGGCTTTATGAGAGACTCGAGTAGCAAGAAGAGCCAGAGGAAGGCCAGTATCAGTTGCCAGGCAAACGACGTGAGTATAAGGAAAGTTGATGTCAGTGTGGCTGACTGCAAAGTCAAATCAGTTCAGTGATAGATCTCACAAAGGAAAAAGAAAAAGCGTCTGAAAACTCTCGTCTTGGCGATGGGAGTGGGAAAAGAGCAGATCATAAAGTTACAAAGATGACCAATTCTCTCTGTGTGTTAGTGACGACAAAAGACAATGCATTCAAATCCATGACATGGCATGGCATGGCAATGGGCAATGGCTGATGAGAGGGGGAGGGACAAAGAGACGCACGCGGCATGGTGCCGTAAGTGGAGGTTTCTGGGCGGGGGTGACCTGGAGGCTAGAGCTGTGAGCGCTGTAACTGGCACCTCGACCCCTGTCATTTGAAGGTACCTATCTTTGGCTTCTAGACTTCAAGAGAGCTTTCCTTGGCTATTGCTGGGGGGCCACCCAACAACGTCTCAGAATCAGTTGATCAGATTAAGAGAGAGATAAGAGCTTGTGTTATTTGGTTACATTTTTAACCCAACTCGGACTCGAGGGTTCAAGTCGTGGCTAGCATACACATAAAGCCATAAACAGATACCAACTCAGCTGGACAACTCCCGTGGGCCCCTGTCATGATCAGGCGCCCTTCAAAACCAGGGTCTCTTTGGCTCTGTCTGGTCTCTGTTCTGTTCTTCTGGTGGTCACGTCACGTCACGAAACAGCCTCCACTCTCTAGCGCAAGCTACTCTACTCATATCCAGAGCTAAGCTCCAAGTTAGTAAATATTCGGGGTAGACTTGACGCCTCAAAGTCCATCATCTTGTTCCTGAGCATCTACCGCAACCGTAAACTCGTGACTCGAGGCTGCAAAGCCTTGGACGAGTTGCTGTGCAACAAACCAACAATTTTTGGTTTATTGACTTTGCTCGCTAGGAACAGAAACCTACATGCTCTAGGCACAGGTGCAGCGTCGTAGTGTGTTGACAAAGTCGCGTGTTTTGTTTTGCTGTCGGTGAAACGGTCGGCTACGTCCATTCTCCATTCTCTATGCTCCGTGCATGAGACGAGATGATGTGGTTGTTTCTAGGAGCCTCTTTTCTCTTCTTGGCTAATAATGTTAACAACTTTTTAGCTTCTGACGCGTGAGAGCGTCAGGTGAGTCCCTTCAATCAGACACAGTGACCAAGTCTAAGCCTTCAGCTGTGTTCTCCGTATCTAGGGTTCTAACGGCGGACTGCGGAGGCCCGCGGAGCCATCCATTCATATTACGCTACCTCCAATGATCGACCCTCAAAAGTGCTTGCACAACACAAGATACGAATACACCAATCAAGCTCGTATAAAGACGGCCTGAACAAAGATCCCTCTCTCGTACCTGATCTAAATCTAACCCTGCCCTGCCTCGGCAACGTAACGGGTCTGCAGATGCAGGTCCACGTTTCGTTTGGTTGACCTTAAAATAGATCCATTATTGATTGATTCCCTTGGACGTGCGTCGACCAAGCTTTTTGGCCTTGTTTGTTCGTCACTTCTCCCTATCCAAAGGGCTAAAGGGCTGAAGGGGCTGCTTGAGGTTGAGATCAACAATCCCTTGGGCAAAAGGGATAACCTCATCCTCGATTGTATCTTTAAATCAAGTTTAAGCTTGTATTCAAGTTAAATTAATGACTTGTGATTGTCGGGCTTGGGCATCGCTTCATCGGCGTTACCGCTATCCAGCCTCAAAGTTAGGGATTGCCAGAACCGGACGTGTAATTGTGCCACCACCGCGATCTGGTCAAACATGGCGTTTTTGATCCATGCCACTTCTGGCTTGCCCGGATCCAGGCACCGAATTCAGTTTTGTAATTCTGATTGTATTGTGATTCTATCCGTGCGTCTGTACATAGGTACTGACTTCAGTGACTTGTGATTCTGCCTTAATAGCACCGGTTTGGGCTATAGTGGAGGCTTCGTTGTGACATTCGTCTAGCCTTTTCATTAGTACGCGCGTGTCCTATTTCCAATGCGTCTATTTGAACTCCGCTGTACGTCCATGTTTATCCAAAAGGTCGTTGTCTCCCTGATCAACCCGCCCAAAGCAATCCCTCAAAACAAGGCAGTGAATGTTACGCTATATCCAATCATCATTGTCTCGGCTCATAAACTCGATCCAGTCTGTTGGTCGTACCCACGCTCACCTAAACTTCTGGCTGGGCCACTCCGTCTGACCCGATCACCTTGCCAACATCCCAAGCCCTCTTCTCCCCAGCCTTGGACCATTGCACACTTTCCGCAGACTTTTCATCTGCACCACTCGCACGCTGTATTTGCTCGTCTGCAAAACCGGCGTCTTTTAGACGTTGCTCCTGATTTTGTCGCAGCTTTTGGCGGTCTCTAAACGCCTCAACAGCATCATCCCAGTCATTGCCAACCTCATCTTCATCCATTTGTATGTCAGTCTTGGGATCGTATGTGTCTGAAAACCGTCGATCGATACCCGAGGACCCTCCCACTGTTCCTCGACCCCGGTATTTCGGGGGCGGTGCGGGTCCCATCAGATCTTCCATGGCATCCGATCCCTCTTCTTCCTCTTTCTTCCGCTTGCGGTCCTCATTCTTTTCCAGAGGCAATCGATGTCGATGCCAACTCCTAGATTCCCTGGGCGATCGAGACCGTCGTCGGCTTGAAGGTGATCTAGACCTGTCTCTCCGTTTATGACTGCGACGATGATGCCCTTCTTCTTCGGAAGCTCTGTCTCTGCTCCGTGATCTATCGCGCCGTCTGTGATCCCTTCGTGACCTATCCGACCGTCTCGATTCATCGTCAGTCTTACCGCGACGATCGTCGCGCGACAGTCGACCCTGTCGCCGCCGCTCGCTGCGTTTATCTGTAAAAAGGTCGTCTGATTTCTGGTCATGTTCGCGTTCCTGCTTTCGATCCTTGTCGGTACGTTGCGAATTTCTCCTTGAAGAAGGCCCAGCCTCATCTTCATTTCTTGGTCGTTTCTTGCCGCCTAGGATGGCATGAATATCGCCCATCTGGCGCCGTCGAATATCATGGACACTCGGGTTTGTCTTGCGCCGCTTGATTTCTTCCGTGCGCTCGAGATCCTTGAGCCGTGCCTTGGACTCGGCGGCCTCTTTGGCTAGCAGCGCCTTGTTGTGATTGTCGGTATCCTTTATAATGTGTCGTAGAAATCGGGTGTTGGGTTTCATCATATTCGCAGGTCTGAAGCCACGTCAGCAACAGACTTGCCAGAATTGGTGGGTGTATGTATTACTTCTTATTCGTGCGATATGCTTCCATACCCATGGCTGAATATTTGAGAGAGCAGTCGCTTGCCTCTTGCGCCAAGAGGTCCGCAACATAATCATCGGTTAAAATTTCGTCGTTCTTTGACATCGTTGATCGGGTTCGAGAGCTCAGGAGACGCGCCAGTCGCAAGATATGTATATCGCCCCGAAATTGCGCCAAAAAGAGGTTGTAAGTTGAGGTTGCAACTCTTGTGTTTGGCTAGAAGTGCTATGCATTGATGTCAGCAGTCTTCTGCCCCTCCACACCGCCTGTGGCCCAAACGGTATTCCACTAACCCAAATTAGGTTTCGAAGTAAACATATCCGCGTCCAACTAAACACAATCAACTTTCTATCACGAACCTAATAATTGGTCTTATTGTGTCACGGTATTCCCGTCCTCTACTCATAATGAGTCAGCCAAACCCAGAAAAGGTTCTTGAAACCCTGAACAAACTTCAGTCATCACAAGAAATCTCAATTATAAAACTAAGTGAACCCATCTCAAGCTCAAGGCCTCAAGATGCCCGGCAACGAACATCAGATGCATCAAATTCAGCCTTTGACGCGCCAACTCCCGCAGGCCTAACAGCCGATCTAGCACACTATAAGGAACTCTTCGCCAAACTGCGCTTTTCATATGTGCAACAAGTCACAAAGGAAAAGTTCATCCGAGCCATTGTCGGCGACCCACCAATGATTGTCACAATGGAAGAGAATCTGGAGCTTGAAAAGGAAAACGCCGTTGCCAAGAAGCAACTCAAAGAGCTAAAGACAGAAGTGGCGGATATGGTGGCAGATCTTGAGAGGAGAGGTATCGAGCTTAGCCAGAAGTACGAGAATGTGCAACTTGAATCGGCAAAGCTGCGTGAGATGCCTACAAAGATCGAGGATTTGGAAATGCGAATTGAAAAATTACGCACAGAACTAGAGACCCCAGAAGGATCCGCCCCCAGCATGAATCTGCCTCTAGCCAAAACTCAGGATCTTGTCAACCAACGCAAGCTCGAACAGCAGGAACTCGCGCGAGAGCTGGAGTCCTTACAAGCCAAGGTCCCTCGGAAGAGAAAGGAGGCTGAAAGACTTCGTGTTGAACTGCAGCCTCTTGAGAACAAGCGCCAAAATAGCGCGACTGCTGCGCGTGAGGCGAGGAGGAGAAAGGAGGCCGCTTTGGGTGGTGCAGCGGATGACCTGGAGGAGAGAGCTCGCTGGTGGAGAGCGAGCGAGGGTGTGTTGACACAAGTTTTGGATATCAAGAATTAAGAGATGCGAACATGAATGAAGATATGAGATATCACGATAGGGTCAGCGTTGTGAGCATATGGGACACGGAATAGGGGTAGGGGCGTTTAGCATTTTTGATGCTACCTGGCCCTTGTTATTGCCTTGGCAGGGTGGCTCTTTTCATCATTTAATGTCGAAATTCTACGGCACGTTCTCTGCGACTGTATACAATGTAACTTGCGACATGCACTGATGCAAACAGGTGCCTTTAGCGTGAAGCCTCGATCAGGTTTTTACAGTATCATGTAGTCAACCATACCGGAACTACACTCCCATTAGAAATTGAGGTGCTTTCTTGAAAACTATCATGCTTCAATATAACGGTGCTATGGATTCAAACTCTTGTGATCTACCCTTCAAGACAAGTATGTTCCTAGAACCCAGACCCATATGCTCAATTTTACAACGTGGACATATTTGAAATGTCTCTATATAATACCTTGAGTCGCTCTCAACATGCTGTCTACTGGCTCTACAGGTAGCTTAGAAGCCTAAGATTGGTTCTTGATACTCCTGAGCCCTACATGCACACAGCCACAGATGATGGTGAAAGTTTGTCATTCCCAGGCATAACAACAAACGATATATGGCAAAGTTAGTTGCTCGTTGATGAGGAAGACAGCAAGTTCCATATTTCGTACATGTAGGGCATCTTGAAATGCTAGTGACAACTTTCTTTAATGAATATAGACGCAAGTCAATGACTGTTTGAGGTACGTGAGGTTAACAACTACCTCTACTAGCAGGACGGCTGTTGTAACTATTTTGGTGCTTGTAAATAAATAAGATCCTGCAAGGTAATATCATATAAGTGATACTGTCTTCTTCTGGCGAATCAGGTTGAGGATTGTCGTCTTCCAGCTGAGTGTCGAATTCATAGAGGTGGCCACCAAGTCTGAAAAGGCATCTTCCCATTTGACTACCAACGGAGCTATAAGTGTATCTCAATAAAGCGCTATACTAGGGCATCTATTTCTAACCCAGCAGGTGTAGAAATGCCGATTTTAGTTTGAACTCGGCCCCTTCTCGATCATGACAGTCTAGTCCCTTCGATAACAGTTACCTATACGTAGCCAGCCAGGAAGTATTTACAGATATCATTTAGCTTTGCATCAACCCTGACTCTCTTAAATGGAGAGATTATTCTTGCAAGCTAAGGAAATAATGCCAGATGCTGTAACAGTATTGCGCTTTAGATAAGAATATAAGGATACTGGTCTATGGTAGTGATATAGTATGGTGGCGTACTGTGAGCTCTATCTCGAGAATACCGAGATTTTCATTATCAATAGGAATAAATACCCTACTCCGAGTGCCTTCAATCTCGATCCTTGAGTCTATGAGAGTTCCTCGGCTAGTAAACGAACAGTCCTTCCAATATCAGGAAAACATCGATAGCATCAAAGACTTTAAGCGGACTTTGAAAGCATTCATGCCTCCTCTATAGCTGTAGTCGGAGTATGTAGAGTACTGGACATGAGGAAAGAGACGGGCTGAGTGGGAGTGAAGTGCCAAAGTAGAGTCATCAGCAAGACACAAGATGTTTCAGCAAAGTCCCATCTCTTACCTTGATCAAGTAGACCTCTCACCCGGAACTTGGATTATGATCTCAACCCTCAATTCAGTACGATATCGTACTATTTTTTGGTTCTCCTATGGGCTATGTATACTCCCTCTTTGTGAAATCTTACCGAGATCATTATGTTGTGCACCAGCGAGGATACACCACTAAATCAACGCCTCTCTGTATAATGTCTAGATACACAACAGAGGTTCATGCTAGGAGTTCTTGATCTCACTATCGCCGTGGTGGATATGTTCCTGACTGTGTCGTTTCATAAGATAAGGGAGCATCTCATCTAAGGGCCTAGAACCATGACAGTAGAATAGGCGAATTTCATGCTTCTTCTCTTGACAACTCGAAATCCATTCCTTGTTGGGACATTTCTCGGATACATATGCTCACTCGGGCTCCACTCAAAGTTGAATATCAATAAATCTCCTATCTGTTGGCCGACTCTACTAACAGGGGACAAGAAAAGTAATACAATTGCAGTGTTGGCGCCAGCTCAACATGGCTGACATGAGGGCTTACAAGCATGACATTGATATCATGTAGTAATAAATACATGTAGCGTAGATCCTATTTTCTGATTGGGTTCCAGACTTTGCCAGCAGATCAAGTCAGCACTAGATCTACGGGGTTTATGAAGCTAGGTTTTGAGGGTATCTTGTCATATCCAATGCCTACTAAGCGAACATGGTGGTAAGAAACATTAATAGGTACAGTTCAACTCGATGAGTGCTTTGATGAGCAAGGCATAGGAATAGTTGCAGTCAGTCAACATCAGATGGTTCGACTTGAATATGCTCGGCCACAATTTGAAGCCTTGTCAGTCACTAAAACCAATACGCGTACTCATTTTATCCATGAGAGAGTTTCAGAGGATGCAAAATGTTTACGCGGAGAATAGCAAAGCCCGACCCGCATACGCAATGCGTTTTTACGGGCAAATCAACTGTGCGACACTGACTTTCAAACGCCGGGACCCGATAATCAGAAGGCGTCCGTCTAACAAGCTGTCGCTATTATTTTGTCGCTCAAGGGTTCAGCAACCTCCATAGCCACAGCCAAGACCGAGGGGGAACATTGACCGAGCCAAGGCCAAGGCCAGGGCCGCCAAAAGACCAGACATGTTCCCAAGGCTTGGCTGCCTCTCATTCTCGGGTTGTTCCATGTAAACAGAGTTTGGGAGGGGATTTCGTATCTCGGGTTCTTGAGTCCATTTCATGCACGTGCGTGGGTGCGCCCTCTCGACACAGCACAGCTTGACCTTGACCGGAGCTTACTTACTTCAGACAGGGGATCAGGACGACCCTGGTTGGTCGAATGGGTTTACCCAAAACGGGTTGCATGTAGCGCGCACCCGCTGATTCATCGGGGGGTCGAATACGGCCTCTACCTGCGTAGTCCGGCGTATTTGCTTGGTAGAGTTTTCCCCCAAGTGCCTTGGCTGTCGTGGTGATACGTGGACGGGCGGTCTGAGCCTCTCTGTCAGGGAAATGAGAGACTTGGCTTGAGTTAACGTTAAACGATGGATGCTATGCCTTGCCATGTTTGAGAACGAGTTTAGCTGCGGGGTGTGTTCGGAAACTGGTGGGAATCATTGGAAGAGTTGAACGATTGTGGTTCAATATGACAGGGACCTTGCGGGTGTAACGTGAGGTGAGGGTGAGTACCGGTATTGTATGTATTGGACGAGGCTTGGACTCGGTGTTGAACATGCATGCGTACATACGAAAATGAAGTTGAAAATGTTGGTTTGAGGTGCCGATCTGTGTGAAACCCTGGTTGTGAATCATCAAGGTTGAGTGCACAGTCGGCATGATTACTAGGTACGTATATTGGAGTTGATCTGGCCTCAAGGTATAAACATGCTGAGAATTGAACATGTTGCTGGTACGTATAATGCATCTTGTATGTCCATCACTGAAACCCTCCCATATCGTTCTCGCTATCGCTATCACATCGCTTCGCTTCGCATCGCATCGCTCTTGCCATGTGCGGCACGGGAGTTATGCTTGCCCGCCGCTCCCGCATCCCGGCCCCACATCTGCACCGCGTGTGCCGTAACGAGCGAGGCCCACACATGTGACCTTTTATGTGATTTTCTGTGATTTTGCATCGCATCCCCAATGTCACAATGCGACTATGCGAAAACGCGTATCTCGAAAGAGAACTCGAATATTCCCTCAGCCTCAGATCATTGAGACGCATTGGGCAGTCGTTCCGCATTGGGTGTGAGATCATGATTGACTTCTCGAGTAGAAACTAACGTAGTAAAGACTAATAATAAACGAGCTTTGCGAAGAATGTAGCTGTATCGATCGACACCTGATTCATCCCACGCAATTCGCTTAGTTTACGAACGTTACCTGATGGTTGAAACTCAATGCTCAAGTCCAAGACAAAGAAAGGCAAAGGCAAAGGCAAAGGCAAAGGCAAAGACGCAAGGCGTAGCGCAATCTGATCTACTCGATCGGGATCGCGCAAAGATTTCTCCAAAGAGTCATCGCCGAACAAGAACGAGGTCAAACCCTGAATCTACCACACAAAGCATTATCCCCAAAAGGCAAACAGTCCTAAGTCTCAAGCGACACACCTCTGACCTGATCTGATGTGATCTGTCTGGTATGATGTGAATCGAATGTCTCTTACCCCTTATCATCCAGCTCCCTTTTCTCCATTCATATCCCATCCCAACCCTAACCCGCCTGTTGGCCGAGGCCGTCACCGTCCGTTAACCCCACAGCAGCCGGAGGGTAGCAAAAGCCCGAAAGCCGGACCCCAGTTTGACCCCCCATTTTTCTTTTTGGTCTGTTTCTGATTTTCTGAGTCTCAGACTCTGAGTCTGAGAGTCTGAGATGAGACGGGGTGAATGCGAGGTTGGATCTCCAACTCCGCAGTCCGCATCCGCGGAGCCCCAAGTGCCCCGCGGACAATCAAATCAGTCCGCACCGCGAAACGCAAACATGACAGATTCTGAACAAGAAAGACACCTCCTGACTATTTTCGCTCTTAACAAGGATTCTTGACGCCATGAACAACCTTGTTAACTATTGAGTTGACTGTCTGTCAATGATATTGCTCCTCCCATAATAAAGTTTGTTCACTGTTTGTTGTGGTACAGTCCCACTCACTGCCTTTTGCTACTGTAGCAATCAATGGATGGTGTTGGTGTGTAATCATGATGATGCTGTCGTATGTTGGGGCACTCGCTTGCAGTCAAGTGCAGTCCAGTCACTCAGTGCAGGATGAGCTCGTCTTGTAATAAATGCCACTAGAGGGCGGCATCATCAGTAAGCGTCAGCTTCAAATGTCTGTCTGTTTCGTCCGTTGTTTGGTCCGACACGGGCCTTGGTCGCCCGCCCAACAGCACATCGCATCACCAACTGCACCTTAACTTAGGGCTGACACTGGGTGACACACATTCCTAACCTTGTTCGAATGGCGTTTTTGTTGCTCTGTGACAAGCCAAATACCCGCAGCGGTATCCGTGGACAGTACGCCTAGTTCAGTAAAAGGGCGCCAGCGGAATTCATATCAGCCCGTCTCGCGCGTGTATTACTCAACCCGTAGCTAATAAGTCATCAATTCGGCCGCCCCTTAACCCAATGGATCTTATACCCAGACTGGCAGTCTTTTCGACACTACCTCGCGCAGTATCCGTACAATGTACGTACAGTCGAATTTCTAGATGTTCTGCTATTGTAAGCAGTATCGTCAAATTTCCAATCATATCCACCTCGTCGTCTACCGTACCCAGCAGCCTCAATAGGATACACCAAAGCAGCCAATCACGCAGAGACTTCCCTCGTGGGACTGCAGATGATGGATGATGACTCTTATGCCCATGGGGACTAACGTTAATATCTAGCACAAAAGGGGAATGCGAGTCTACGGGTCATTGGCCGTTGGTCACCGGCACATTACAGCTCTGCCGGATTTACGGCTCAACGTGCATCTTTCTCAATAGAGATTCCCAAGGCTCTGCGCCTTAGCTCCGGGTTTCCGTGCTAGCACCAAATAAGCAGAGAGAGAGAGAGAGAGAGAGAGGTGTGTGTTTAGAATATGCCATTGACGGGCTATTTTTTAGAGCTTAGCTGCGGTCTAAGACTGACTGTCTAATGATAACAGAGTAATTCTTTATCATGCATTCGGCCTTTTTTTGTTTCTCATCAAGGTCGAGCTTGATTTGCAATCACCCTAGCAAAGCTGATTCATTGATTAGCTTAACCATAACCGTTAAGAATAACCACGTTTACCAATTCGATCAATCACAAATGGTCCGTGCCTAGTTCGGGCAAATGTTAGAAGTGTGTGTATGTGTGTGTCCACGGCATTTGCAAGGGACCGGAATTTGACAGCTCGGTGATTTGCGCTATGGATCTTCAAAGGGCCCCGAATCAAAGAACTAGAGAGAAGAAAGGGGACCAGGGATTGCCAAGCGAAGAGTCGGTCGAGACCATCTCAAAGTGACGTGTGGTCAAATGCTCTATGATCTGATGGAGGGGGGTTGATGTGCCTGTGGCTTATTAGATACAGTAATAAAGTATTAAAGGATTAACGATATGCTTTTGCGGGCGACTGAAAGGGCATGGTAGGATTGATGTGACTGCATCCCCACAGTGACAATGAGATATGTGATGAGACAGCAATGGACATGTGCAATTCAGTAGCGATGGGGCAATCTGATCTGATAATTTAGGGAGTCGGATTAGGTATGTATCCATATGATATGTACAAGTCTATCCAAAATATGCATCCTTCTCAAAGCCCTATTCCTATCCTATCCTGTTCTCCCTCCAATGGCGTTGTTTTTGTCTCAACTTTAGCTCTCTGTGCTTCTGGCAAAGGCTTGTGCCATGATTGTGCTCGTGGTTGTCATTCCACATCCATCTTCTTTGTATCATGCAATCTCCAAATCACCACGTTGCCCTGCCCTATCCTGTCCTGTCGTGGCGTCGAGCTGGGGAGCTTTGTACAAGTATTCCCATATCCCGTCGGCAGTCGGAAAACATACAACGCCGCACCGAACCTCACACGTGTGAGGTGAAACCGTGCCTTTTAACACCAAACCCCCAAGGGTATAAACCCAAACAAGAAATGAAAGCCCAGAAAAATTGAATCCCGATAAACACCGTGCCGCGTGACAAATTTTGACGTAACAAAGATGGCCGTAAACAAGTCTATAGTATTGTACAGTCAAGTGTTTATAGTCGCATCGGTTCACCATCGTAGCCAGAATATATCATGGGATCGCCCATGCCCAGCATAACTTCGGGGTTGGGACATGACAGAACATGAGGCTTGATTGTTCCAAATTCTGATTCGACGAGGCCCTGATTCAACAAGTCCATATTTGCCATCATGCCATTATGTTGCTGCTGTTGTAGGAATTGCATGGTAAGGTCGCTAGGCTGGGGCTTGGTCATTGTCCAGGCGGGAAAGTTGCTCATGGCGGGCGATTGCGAGGCGAACAGGCTGGAAGCATCTATCTCGGGTGGTGGAGGGGCGAAGTCAAAGTCGGCGCTGCCTGTGAAGCTCTGCGGTGAGAGGGTCATGGCATTGGTGTTACCAAAGGCGGCCCTTCGATAGTCGTGCTCAAAGTCGGAGTGATCGAGCTCCGATGATGACGCTCGCTCGGTTCGGTTGCACACGGATGAATCGGTGTCCTTGATGGTTTCCTTTGCAGGCTCGTGCTCCTTCTGTTGATCCTCGAGCTGTCGAGCCAGCTCAGCCATACCAGCTTCGTCTTCAGGGAACACTGAGTGAACAGGGAGGTCGATATCGCTGTTAGGGCGGATGCAGCCGAGCTTCTGGGCGATGTTGTGGATCACGGGCTGGCCGCGGTCGTTGAGTTCGGGCTCTCCCAAATCCCAAGACTGGTTGTTTCGGACCATTGAGTAGAGCTTGTGGACTGTAGCAATGAGGGCGAATTGTGTGTTCTCGAGAACCTCGGCGTAACTATTGCGTGTAAGTGAGATGCAGACCAAATTGGGAAATCTGAGCACGTACCCTCTAGGCAATTGCTTGTATTCCATCTTCTTTCGTACACCAGCTGTGCAGACTAGACCGTCGTCTTTACATCGCTTGCATGGGAATTCACCGTCGCACTTGAGTTCGTGTTAGTGAGAGGTGGGGTTAAAGAGCTGTAGTACTAAAAACGTGCCTTGGTCTTCTTCATTCGGCATCTTTCACAAGCCTTCCACACACGCTTATGTCGGCCGTCCATACCAGTTGTATGTGTGACATGGTCGTGGTGGTGAATTGTAGCAGCACTTGAGCTGGCTCGCTTGGAAGTGCGGTGCACAGGCTTGACAGACTTGGAACTTGACGACGTGCTCTTTCGAGAGAGGGTCGACTTATGATCCTCGGCGGGAGGAGATGGTAAGCTACCTGATCCCATTGCTGCTGTAGTTATAGCTGATATGACTATGATATGCCAAGCAAAGTTGATTGAGGTGATATACAATCCAGATTGTGGGTTGTGTTTGGATTGGGTGGATGTTGAGTGGTGTAAGCCAGTATGTGTAAGCCAGTGTTGGTAGTAGTAGTAGTAGAGTACCAAGCACCTGGGACAGGAGTGGGTGGTGATGTCTGTATATAATAGATTTGAAAGCTGAAGTGGAAGAGGGGAAGAAAGAAAAGAAAGGTTCGAGCAGCTTAATAATAGTTGTAGGCGAGGCCAAGGCAGGTCAAGTCAAGTAAGGTTGGATCTTGTGTGACTGGAGGTGACTTGGCGACAGGACAGTAATAAGTGAATTATGCGTAGAGTCTAAAGAGAGAAGAGAGGGCCTTGAATTATTATGGATTTGAGTTATGTATTATGTGAGAACGAGCGATCCCGGTCCACGGCGGTCGGAAGGTTTTCGTAGGGTGTAGACTGCAGAATAACCAACCAGTATGAATAGGTACATCAGGTATCAGAGTGCAAAGGAAGTTCCCGCCCGCGCGCTGCGGTATGAGTTACGAGTGAGTGAGTGCCCGTGAGGATGAGTGAGTTACTGGGAATGGAGGGCGTGTAGTTAACGGTCGGCGTGGTCATTATGTCCGAGAAGGCGAGAGAAGTGCTAGAGTGCTCCATGTTACAGGGATCGTCCAGGGAGTCGAGGCTAGCAGGGGTCGAGATGGATCCGCAGATGATGGATGTTGATGTTCTGTTGATGGTGATGGTGTGGATCCTCTGGAAGTTTGAGGCACTGGAGCGACCTAAAAGTCCGCCCGCGTTGACGGCGGCGGACTTAAGAGAATGTGAGGTACGTACTGACAGATTGATTGCTTGATTGATTGATTGCGGTGGTACGGCGATGATGGTGATGGCTGACGGGAGGCTTGGGTGCTTCCCAACTGCTGGTGCTTACACTGAACCTAACTTAACATAACCTAAGGGGTTATCAGTTTGAGTAAAACCGTTGGAAATACAAATTGATTGGGCGCCCATCAAAATGAGGGACAACGCGTTCTCAGGGCGCAAGCAAATTGTACCCAAAACTTAAAGCATAAGAGCGAGGCTGATGAGTGTATGATGAGTCTCTGCCAAGCCAAGCCAAACCAAACCCAATGCCATGCCCTTGATCAGCATCAGGGTGCGAGACCGAGAACGAGCATTGAGCGAGCTAGCTGCTAGGGGTGTTTTTGGCGATCCCCTTTCCCTGTGGCTATACAACAATTACAGTACGGAGACTGTCACTGAGCGCGTATTTTGCGTATAATATCAAATCACTCACAAGGATTAAATGCATCGCTGACTGCCGTACCAGTTGGCTCTGGCTCTGGCCATGGTTGAACTTTTGAAGCTTTGTTTCTGGTTTCAGAACGGCAAATGGTACTTAATTGCGCTGCATAACGCTACACTTGCTACACGGCAATGTACAGTAAGACGGATTGATGCTTATTGTTTGGAGGTGCAGATGACCCAGTCGAGCTCCTACAATCTCGGACTTGATTACTTTGTACAACAATTCCAACACAATCACTAAAATTGTAAGATATTGGATGTGTGTAAGACCGTACCCCACAGGGAATAATGCGGCTATTTCTAGATACGTGTATATATAATTCTTGTCCTCTTCTTACATGGTCTACTCCTGAGACCGATCTCGTCATCGTGCTCGATCAACAGACAAGTTGCTGATGCATCATCCTTATTATGTACATCCAGGCAAGGTCTGTAGGCCATCTCGCTCGCTACGATGCATTGCCCAGCTGCCCAGAAACTGCATCTTGATCAGTTAGGTGGAGGGAGGCCCAATCAATCAATACCCACATGTACCTATGGAGGTAGAAAGATGGATCCCATCTCCCTATCCTGTCCACTTATTGCCGTACTTCCACCGCTGTTGTCGCCACTGACCGAATTTTGGTGCTTCTAGAAGGGTAAGGTGAGCTTGAGAATGAGCCTAGGGCCCTTTGATTGATTAGAGCGAGCTAGGTACGGAGTCTTGTCGGCATCCCGCGCGACCGACCTCCGTCATCTTCGGGGCCGCTTTACGTACCTTGGCTTTTGGCTTTGGGTGATTCCATCTCATCTCATTTTCTCTCTCTTGTCAATATCCACATTACCAATACAGCGGATGGTCGCTAGTTTAGCTCGGGGTTGCCAAGAGCAGAAGAACTTTCTCCTGGAACCCAATGACAAATGGCGATTGTGTCTCTCCTTGGGGGGACGGGGGGCCATCCATCTCCATCTTTCAAGAAATGAGATGTGCACCCGCGACCCCGTAACAAGGGCTCTCGCGCTCCCAGACTGCAGACTCCCACTGACAGGCAAGGATGTTATGATCCCGCGACCTTGTTAAGGTTCTCATGGCCACGCTGTGCGGCCGTTGCACAACCAAAGCGACACCTCACCAGCCATACATACCTGGCGGGCCGATATTTAATTCCGTTCCTAATTGCAACCTTCAGTCAAGCTAGTCACGGTAGTTGTCGCTGTTTTGTAAGCTGCGATATTCCAGCGCAATGGTCCTGGGCTCTTGCAGTCATCAACAGGGGTCTTGATTTCTCGGCGCCGATTCCAACCACCGGCGCCGATGACAGATACTCATCAGGCACGAGGCGAAATCTCAAAGCACGTTCAAGCAGACAACGATCGTCCTCTTGGAAGTTTAATTATATGGGTCTGCCTCGGTCTATCCCATCAACTTTACATACCAAGCTTTTTAGAATGATGTTCTGATGTTCATGTTCTGATTCTCGTGTGAAGACTTGAGCAGAGGACACGTCCTACACCATGATACATGCTTGCGCATAATTGCGGCTCCAGGCCATAGCTAGTGCTATACTCAATTCGTCGATTAATGGTTTGTAGGCGCTGAATAAGGGCCTTTGTAACCTCAAAAGTTGATTGTGTAAGCGGGCGGGATGCGGTTAAATCTAGCGCCAGGCGGGCTGTTTAGCTTCTCGTGATGAATAAGGAGGGCTTCATCAAAGATCCCACATACCAGGGACCATGAGTTACAGTACAGAGTTAAGTCCAACTTTAAGTGAAGCGAAGATTATCTATCAACCCCGACTCCGAATTTCGCTTTCACGGCAGCTTTACGAAAGCCGCCAGGCATTGAACTTTGAAGTGCCGCCCTCCGTGGAGGCTTTCTTGACCGTATAGGGCTGGGGCTGGCAATTACTAACTTAGATTACAGTACTATACGGACGGTTGAGCAGCCGTTGATCCCCATAAGGAGGGACGGCGGTGGTGATCAGACATGCTTATAAACTCAAAGCCACGTACCGCTGCACCGTTAGACTGCCGCGATGATACCTTCTCTGCGCCTCGGATATATCAACCGTCTTTGGCAGGCGTCTTACCGCAGTTTCGTGACGAACAAGACCCCAGAAGTCCGAATACCCAGAGTAACTAGCAAACAAAAGAGCGAAAAGGGGGGTATGAAAGAGCAAACCAGCTTCATCTCAAGTGTGTAGAGTCACAGTACGTCTCAGGTTCTGGAAACAAGATCGATAGCCGGACTTGTTCATCTTGCCGAAACCGATCGGAGTCCGCGGCTGGGGGATGGTCCGTTTTTTGATGCAATGCAATTGAAGCCATGGACATGGAATTGGACACGTGCATGTAGATGTTGCGTAAGTGAGATGAAGGCTGAGGTAGCAGTCGATCATTTGATCAGTTGTACAACTGCCGAATGGACGAAAACCTCCGCGATTTGAACCCGAGCTATCGGTAAATAGACAAGAAGCCTATTCACTCACTGTCCTCTAGGTGTAACAGAACCATGTAAAAAGCAATGATATGATGATTCCATGATGGTGTTCCTGTGCGGTCTTTGCGGTCTGGAATCATCCCGCTCTTTTGAAATGAAACCTTCTTTGAGATTCTGTCAAAGACACCAGTTGCTTCCCTGTCAACTCAGATCCATTATGAAGCGAATTCCATGTTGAATTATGGATCTTGGATACGACGAGAGCTTCGTTTCAGTCAAGGTTCAGTTGAGGAGTACAGGCTATTCCAAGCGCTAACTATTGAAACTAAGGGAAAGACAAAGCCCGAAAAAGGTATTTCCCGTCATCCTTACAATCCAACGAGAACTGAGGGATATTCTCATAGATGCCCATATTTGTGACATGTAAGTAGTCAACTTACTGTGAATCAGGCCACCATAAGCCCCGAACCCATTGATCGATAAATGGATGGGATGGTTGTGACGGCTATAGCGGTAAGGCTCCCGGATAGCGGAAATGCGGCCGCGAAATTTCTCCAACTACAGCTCGTGTCCCATTCTTTTTCATTCTTATGTTTCTATTTTCTCTCCGTTTTTTCTTCTTCTTTTTTTCGCATTCTTCCAATGCTCGCTTATCCACTTCCTCCCCACAACTCACAATCTTACACGGCACTGCTAGTTACAGCATCTAACCGTCGACGTCATGCGGTCTTGATTATCAACAAAAAGTCCACCCGCTTAGCAAATTCAGTACCACGTTGACGTTTTAACTTGCTCAATCAGTGCCAGTTTCACCGTCCGGCACTTGCTCTAGTCAAACTCTGTTATCGTTGGTCAAATAAAAAAAGTCAATGGGCCCAGGGCGTGTTTTTGAAGTGCATGGACTGCAGAGTTTTAGTGCATGATGGTTGTGATTCTCGGGGCCGGCACCTCAGTCAATGACACCAACACACCAACCTTAGAAAGCGAAAAACCCTGATCGCCAAAAACGTGCGCTGCTGTAGCCCTGCCTACACCTACGCCTGCTGCTAAGTGACCCGGAAATAGATTACACGCGCCGGGGATAACGCTGCCCGTCCCTGTCCCTGTCAATGGCTGAATACGTAAATCGAGTCCATGACTCGTCTTTGACTCGAGATACGCATGTCAGTTCTATCTGTGTAAGTGCTTTGTTCACAATCGCATCAGAACTAGCCAAGACATACGGATATCTCATCGACTACTTTTTGATGCAACCGTCGTCGTGTACTGCAATACGTGCAAGACGCCTCATTTGATCAGTATTCTCACGTCTAACCTGATAGTCAACCTTGATAAACAGACGCCGGAGATAAAGACCCTGTGCAGCAAACGTGACCTAAAACGGGCGCAACGAGCTGACCTGATGTCATGTTATGTTGACAACAAGGCGAGTGAGTTTCCCGACGTTGTTGGTTGTAGCCTGCAGCAAGCCTATCTAGATCTCACCTTGACCAAGACACTGAGGTGCCAAAGCGGTTGGTCAACTCGGCAACTTGAAGCCGAGCCATGTTTTTATTTTTCGCGATGCGGGATGATGATGATGTCTGTCTCCCCGGGGACCAGTGATGGTCCTATGGGATCTTGTCTTTCTCAGCCGCGTCCCTTGGCTTCTCCTTTTGACCAGGTTCTTTTCCATGGAAATCTTTCTAGAAGGCCGCGGGATTATCAGTGCATGGTCCCCCCATCGGCACCGGAACGGCAATGGTGGATCTATCGGGTTGAAGATATCTTGGAAGCTGTAAATCAGCCTGTAAGAACTGTCGGACTCGCCCGAAATTTGACGAGTTAGTCACTAGACGTCCCCCATTCATCTCATCACCATCGCCATCTTGAACTGGTGCACGGACTTGAACAGCTCTTCGGTGCCGAAGTGGGGGTTCCTTTGTTCAATAAGGCCAGCCAACAGTGTCACTACTGCGTGCTTATCCAGAGAAAGTTTCCATGATATCAACACGGAAAAGCCTAAGGGCGTGAAATGAGGTCAGCGGCTTCTCTGATATTCAGGGCTGTTGGAGAATTAATTCGCGCTACGAGTCCCTAAGCTAAGGCAATAATGATTCGCGAATGCCGTTTCAATATCCCGACCTCCGTGCCGAGGTGTGGCCCGCTTTCCAAGTCGGCGTTTAAACCTCCGATGTCGACATTATCAAGAGCCCGTCGGGTTTTTTTTGCCATGCATGCAACGCACCAACTTATACGATTCGAGATTGCAAGTCTTGGGTTATGTGCGTTTTATTTCCTCGGGCCGCTTTCGGTCACCTGGAAGGTGAAGCAACCCCTTTACACCCTTATAGGATCAGGAAGCTGGAACGTCATATCCATGTTCGCTTTGCAATTGAGAAAACAACAGCATATGGACCAAAGTCGGCATGTCGAGAAATGCCTCAATACCCATGGCATCGCATCGCATCAAATGCATTTAACTGAACTGAAGTGAGCCTGTGCTCTTCTGAGGGCGAGAGCCCGCTTACACTTACACCCCCTTCTCCATTTTCGTTTTCATGTTCCGATTATCAGACACAATCCCTGGCAATCTCCTTCAAATGGAGACGTAACGTTAGTTGCTCGTGATTATTCATCTCGAGGCTGCATGCACAAGCCCAGGCCCATCATTACTTCACATATTACCAATCTATTCATGAATCCAAGCCGTCGTCTTTCCTAGCCTGTCCCTTTGACACTTCTTTTCGCCTCACTAAACTCTTCCAGGACGCCCCATAAGAGGCTCCCAAGAGGCTCAAGAGCCCCTTGGGTCTGGCGTCTTTTCGTCCCGGTTCCTCGGCCCCACCTTGCCGGGGTGGAGCGGAAGACTTGCAGCAATTCGAAGGTACTCGGCCGAAAACCGCATCACAGCCCGACGCCAGGTAATCTCCGTTGCCAACGTCGTATGATATGAGCCTCAAGCCCTATGATCTGAGCTGAGCTTGGCATTGCACCTGATGAAATGTTTGATCACCAGAAAAACTCTGTGCTCTACCACTGTCACAAGGAATCACAAGCAATTTCACATGGCCATGACTTTGAAATCTCAGGGCTTGTCGGCTAGGCCGATGAATATCTTTATAAAACGGGTCTTTCGATGACTCTCTTGGAAAAATGGGACTCAATGGGACATCGAAGCTCGCCATGATTCTCAGTTCTTGTTCTACGGACTTCGGTGTTGAGGTTTTCCTCGTCTGTAAGACAAGCCCCAAGAAGGTTCAGCCGCAAATTTAACGTGTCTGTCATTAAATCCGCCAAACAGGGACCAATTACAAGTCGTTTCACACAAAATAGAAATCCCATGGAACAACTTCAAACAAGCCTCATCCCTGAAAGGCGTCCAATTCCGATCATTCTCCAGTAACGTCCGAGCTATGGGTCCATTGCTGTGGACGTATCGCAACGTGAGTGCGGATCCTCCTCACGAACCACCCCCGGAAGGCTTATCACGCAAGGCCATGTCTGGCTTCTTGTCTCTCGCCATCGAGATCGTTTGCATCCTTATCTGGCCAAGAGATTGGTTGAGCTCAGATATTGCCTCTCGCTTGAAACTATGGGGCTTGTAAATCAAGATTCTAATGGCCGAGCTCGTGAAAGTCTGGTGGTATTCTAGAGTTCTATATCCTCGGCTAAGCACCCACTTTGATCACGACTGACAGTTACATCCCACGTCCATTTCGGATCAAAGATATTGAATCATTAATTCATTATGGAAAAGTGGATGCAACAGGGAAAAAAGACATCGTTGTCGACATGATATCGCTCTTGAATCACCAAGCTGCAACAACAGTCATGTACCCATGAAGAAGTATCAAACCACCAGACTACTCCCATGCACTACACATCATTGTACATAATAAGCCGGGGGTGCTCTTGCTCGCAAACAGCCCATGTCCACGCGGCACTCGGCAGATAATTCATGAGGACTGCGGCTTTGTGACCATAAGATGCAGATTCGAATAAATTTGGATCATGTCGACGCACTTTCTCCACTGCATCAGCGGTGGCCAGTGCAAGGAAGTGTTGTCGATTAGGTCCACGGGGAAGTACCCTACTCCGAGGTCAGTCACAGCCGAGGTCTAGGATATCGCGGTGAAGAAAAGGGGAAGGGGTTGAATACGGGAAAACGTACAATGCGTTTCCAAAAATTCCATGGCACAAGCATGGTTCCTTGGTGAGAAGACCATGTCTCCAGGTTATGCTCTGACCTTTCTCGACGGCTGAGTCGATACGATCTTGCAAGTCGGGAAAATAGGGGCGCAGGGACGTCAGCGAATACAAGAAACCAGGAGCACCATGGCACCACTGAATGAGACTTGCGCCTTTGCCCTCCTTGAGGCTCCGCAGGCTCGACGGCCAATTCCCGTCAGGACTCTGAAGCTCAAGAAGCTTTTCCACGCGTCGTGTAAGTTGTGGAGCGAGCGATGAGTTTGAAAGAACGAGCTGTGTGATGATACCTATGTCACCATGAGCTGCTCCAAAGTACCTCTTCCCATGCCACTCCCAATTACCCCTGCCGTCGTCATCAGTGGCCATGATACGCTCTGTAAGTCTCTTAATCGGAGATTCTACGAGACTCTCGCTCCTGGGAACCCAGTGTTTCACCATGCGCAACATGTATAGTGCACCTGCCCGCCCGTAGGGTATCTCTGATGGAAAAGCATCTTCTTGGGGGCTCGTATAGGGACCAAGAAGTATTGGTATGTTGCTCAGGAAGGTTATCAAGTGATCATCCTCTTTGGTTATGCACGCTCTCACTGCTTCGAAGGATAGTTTCTCGGACGAGATGCCGCAGTTGCCCTTCTCCAGGGTCAACTTTCCACGGTCTCCTTCCAGGTAGCGTTTCGCCCAAGATGGCAAGTCTTGGCCAGAGATTTTCAGATCTGGGTATAGTTCGGACAGTTGAAGGAACAGGTAAGCAAGACCAGTGTACCCGGTGAAGAGACCGCCAAGATGGCGTTCATGGTAGACCTCACGAGGCGGCGTATGTCGTACGACGAGTTCAAGAGCATATGTGAGGAGTTCTTTGGGATCCGAGCCGAGTTTTTGGGGAGGAAGGTTATTCGAGATATATCGTTGAGCCATGCTGGCGGCGATGGCATATGCATTCGTGAGTCTCTGGTAAAGCTATCGAGGGCGGTTCGCGCTATCATTATCTGGATGAGGCCGTCGTCAATGTTGGGCTCGACGTGATGTTATACGCGCGCTCCTAGTGACGCATACCTCTCATCTTTTGGGGATGATCAGCAACACGTTACCATGTAATTGGAGGAGGGGCAAAAGACGAGGCTCACGCGACAAAACATACCACCAATGTACAAAGGAATAGCCTCTCCAGACACGACAAAAGAGATTATCATAGGCTCAAAGGTCGGGTTTGAAACAGGCCTGCCTTGTTCCAAGGTCGATCGCTTACTATGTACGGCTCACGACAAACAGACGTTAGCGTTAGCCGGAGCCCTACAATGAAGCTCCCGAAACTTGGGGCCGATGGTGGGTCATGAGCCCCCGGCGGAGGTGGGTCCTCTGGGACATTTCCTCCGGCGATCTGCAAGTTGACGTTGATGCGACGTTGGAGGGGATACAGGTTTAATAGATCGTTCTTGAGAGGAGGAGAAAGAAGCATTTGGCAGAGGTATTGAGTGCCATATAATATATAACTGATGAAACTCTTATATCAGAAGTTGTCAAAAAGCGTAACATACACATCATCGTCACTGGTTTGTACCCCGGGTTACGTAGAAGCCTGTGACGATTTAAGGTAGCCCCACTCGTAGGGCCTTGAGGTGCCAATGACGACATCGATTAGAGCTTTCTCCCTTGAGCTTCCATGGTTTAGGGTGGAATGTAAAGCTTGTGATTGCCAACCTCGCTGTGATATAAACAATGCGAAGCAGATCACCTCTTTTTCACTTGGCAACATCAAAGTGCTCTTATAACGATTTGTTTCTGCACACGATTAGCAGAATCGCAAACTTACTCTAACTTTCGCATTCAACAAACTACCATGGCCGACACAGCTGAAGCTTCTGGAGCTGATCACCAGCAGGAACCCGCCAAGCGCAACAGAGTGGTTGACTCTGTTGGAGAGAAAGCTCAAGAGGTCTTGTACGCATAAATTGTATCGATTCTCTTCTTCTTCTTGAAACTAATAATATTACTAGTAAGGAAGACTATGCCCAGGCTAGAGAGCATGTCGCCAGCGCTGCCAAGAGCCGATCCTACCTCTACCCGATCAAGGTACAGGAACTCCCCTCTTGAGCCCCAGAGAGGTCACTTGTTAATGCACCACGTCTTGAACAGGGAATTTTCTACTTCATCTCCCATCGCTCACTTTGGAAGCCATTCATCTCCAAGCTCGGTCCTCTGATCCTCCTCTCTACCGGGGTCATTGGTGGCATGTTCTTCTTTACATACTTGCCACAGCTCGCCGTACTATTCTTCGTGAACGGCCCTATTGCGCCCTTCTCTACGGTTCTGTTGGTTCTCAATGAGAGTACCACCATCATCAACCTTGTGTCTCGCAACTACCTCCTTCAAGATGCCCTTCTCGATGTGTTTGATGGTACACTGCTTGCCCGTGGAGATACCCAAATAGTGAGCGAGGGACGAGAGGTCAAGTCTGGGGCAGATCCGATGCAGAAACTTGGCAAGATCATCAAGAGCCCCTTTGAGAAGTTCAGCCCCAAGGCTATTGTCCGCTACGTGATGTACCTGCCTCTCAACGCCATCCCGGTTGTTGGTACGGTGATCTTCATCCTCATCCAAGGTAAAAATCCACCATCAATAATTATATCACTCCACTAACCAGGCGCAGGTCGTACACGAGGCAAGGGAGTTCACGGCCGGGTAAGTTACCTATTGATTGGAGTTTGGTCAAATCTAACATTGTTCCAGTATTTCCAGTTAAAGAAATGGTCGCAACCCAAGAGGGAGGACTGGCTTACCAAGAATGTTGGCCCCTACACTGCGTACGTATCTATCCATCTGCTTCTTGCTGAACACTTGGCAGCAAAAATAAGCCAAAATTTAGCTAACTGAAATGTGTAAAGATTCGGACTAGTTGCCACTCTTCTCGAGATGATTCCTGTAGCTTCAATGTTCTTCACATTCAGCAACACAGGTAAGTCTGAAGCGAGCTCGCAATTGTCCAAAGCTAACGTCATCAAGTTGGAGCTGCCCTTTGGGCTGCTGATATCGAGGACAAGAATGCCTCGATGACTGATGGAACTGCCCCTACTCTGCGTGAAACCGCAAAAAAAGCCGAATAAACGCATCTGTCTTTGTACAACAGGCTAAGCCTCAAAGCCACGCAACATCCATGATCTGCGAGACATTGTGTCCAAAACATGAAAACAAAGTAATAATATGGATTTGGTTTTGATCTTCTGGGGGGTGGAGGTTTGTAAAATTGGAGGATGCATGAGGCAATCGCGAGTTCCTGCCTGACCTAAAAATTCAGGCGAGCGCTTTCGCAAATATAGGAAGGAATGTCCAGTAGTCACATCAGCCAGTAAGGAAGGAAGGGTCTAAAAGAGAAGATGTCTTAGGTCTAGGCTTTTTTGCAAAACTTTCATCGTCTCGATTTGTCTCATTCTTTACACGTCAACGTGAGCCTCGCAACTATCCCCCAATTTGAATCTCTAAGTCTTCGCTGTTCAAGATGAAGACGCGTCAATGTCTGAGTGTTCGCTTAAGATCTGCTCTTGAGAGCAATCAGGGTCAGAACTGGAAGCGCCCTCACATTTTGAAACGTTGATTCCCTTTCGAGAAAATGTCGACTGTGAGCCTTAACCCTTGTCTTTGTTCTTGGTTTGACTGATAATGCCACGAGACGACATCTTCCAAGTCTTCCTTAGTCATACATAGTCATCCAAGATGTCAACTCAACAAAAGGAGACGAAGAAGAATTACCGCCCTTCTATACGCCTGGATGCTCAACAGAGACAAACTAAGTGTATCACAGAACACTTTACCCCTGATGCGACCCGACGGCAAGCTGCATCTCGCCTCGTTGCCGAGGCTCGTTACAGATGCCACGTCTACACGAATGACATATAAAATCTGGAATTCTGGGCTCAAAACGGTGAAACCTCCAACAATCAGGCCGTTGATCCCCAACGGTCAATGGCCCGGCGTGGTTTGTGTTCCACCGCTTAACACGGCCGAGATCTCGTCTACCAACAGTTTACCAATGCAAGTGAGATCCCGCAATGCGAGTCAGAGCGAGAAACGGCCGTACGAGGATTAATCTGATACAGGTCATGTGTGGCCTGACGTGACCAGCAACTGTCTTCACTCGAGTGAAAGAGACGGCTCCCAAGCACATGATCACCTGCTTAGTGTCGACATGTCTTGGTATACGATGTACAGAATACCACTCGATATTGGCAGGAATAGGCTGGATCATACTCAAGTGAGAGTAATTCTGGAAGCTATCCCTTTTGTATTGTTTCCTCGAAGAAACATGATGGGAGATGAAGGGCGGCCTGTGGCATGACACATGGAAACAATCACCGGCTGATGAAGCAGACACGGTAGCAAGGATACTTCATACATGCAATCAAGCGATAATGCAACGCCACACCCAAGTTTATTGTCCTAGAAGATGGAAGGGAAAACTGAACAAGCATCGACTACAGCTGTGTAAGCTCATTCCCATTGTGTCTGCCTTCGTGTCATAAGAAGACGGAACTATACGCCTGTCCAAGGTCCCGGGATTGCTTCCATCGGGAGGAAGGCAAGCAATCAGCCGGACATATGTTCTATGGGGTACCAAGAAGGCTATATACGGCCACCAACGACCGAAGCACCGCGGACGACGGTCAAATCTAGCAAAACATATCCAGGAATCGCCATTGCAATAACACTGAGCCAAGCACTTGTAACCCATTCGACCTGGAAATACAGCTTGTACTCTCATGCTGTGACAGGCTTTCAGGGGCGATTGAAAATATCTGGCGCTAGATGGTATGCGCCGCCTATAAGGTAGCAAGATATGTGCCCCTTTGCCTGTCACTGGTAAAATTCTTGTGACAGCTGCTGCCAGTTGCACACTTCGTATCTCCTATCTTTTGTGCTGTTCATGATTCACTCGCTCCTACGTATGCCTTGACTACTTTTCTTCCTCATTCTTCTCACTTCTTCTGCCCTTCTTTTCTTTCGCTTCGCACATCTCGCTCTCGTGTTCTCCTCATCACCTCGAGGAAGCATCAAGGAAACAATATCCTAGGAGTCGACAATCACTCGTTTACCTGTATCTCTTATTCTACTATCGGCTCATCCGCTCGTTTGAACACTTCTGTAATAAACTCTGTTCGCTGAATCGTTCTGGGGAGTTCAAAAAGCAATCTCCGCGTTTGCTCAAGGACGAGCAGTATTCGCTGACCCAAAGGATCAACAGCACGTCAACATCTTCATCATGAGACCACCTAACATTCCTTTGATCGCCGTTCTGTCGGTGCTTCTACTGCTCTCTTATCTTCTGAGCAGTGCAACCGGGCTTGGTCCCCAGCAGCATCGAGGTGCTCGCAAAGATGTGCGCGGCAATAACTTCATCGAAGCTCGCAAACCTTTGGGTAACGCTCTCGCTGATGGCTATGGTCCACCTCCTCCCTATTATACTGCGGAACCACTTGCTCCAACTGATTCGACCTCTCGTAAGTATTACGCTCTGACTCAAGGTCCTCCTCGAATCTAATATTGTCAGATCACTCTCCCGAGGAGTCCACTGCAACAGAAACTCAGACAGGAGCTTCCGAAGCTGGTGTGATATCCAAGTCAAATGTTTCTTCTCACTATGATACTGTCTCTTCTGGCAGCTCCTCTCTCTTTGTCTCATCAGCACTCGAGACCGGTACTGCCATGATAACGGTCGGCTCAAGCGCCATGGCTGGCAGTACATCCGGCTCCGAGGCACTGTCGAATGCTCACCTAACAGTTTCGGGCTCTTTCCTTGGGACTGAGACTTCTCGTGCTGAAGCTTCCTCAATTTCACTTGGTCAGGTTTCTACTATTTCGGGTACTAATTCTTCGTTGACTGGCACTTATCCCTCGGCGGGTATCTCATCACCCAGGACGGCAACTGAATTGCCTTCAGGTTCTGCCTCATCTGCCACAGTCTCTGGCTTCTTTAATGAAACAAAGACAATCACTGAGAGTGTCTCTCGCACACAAACAGTGTCAAGTGCTGAAGCTTCAGGTGAGCTCACTACAACAGGGCTTGCTTCTCGCCACGAAAGTAGTGTAACAAAGGTTTGGTCGACAACAACGACAACAAAAATACTTGATATTACAGTGACAGTCGCCCCCAGCTCTTCAAATGGTATTTCATCAAGCCTTTCATCTTTGACTGTCCCCATGACTGCAGACGAAACCGCGACAATCACAGTCATCCCACAACAGAACTCATCTGAACTTTCTACTGAGGGTCTTGCTACCGAGGGGCACTCAACATTGGGAAGTCTGGCCACTGAATCAACCAAATCTGTCACAACCCAAAGCATTCTGACCGAGGTTGCTATCTCGGAATCGACCCAAAAGTCGTCTCTGGCTTCGAGCATTCCTATCAATGGAACTGTGAGCTTCACTACTACTACTGCCTACTTCACTACAACAGTTGAAGTTCCTATCTCATCTTCTGTTCTGTCAAATTCATCTGGCATTTCAACACCTACTATTGTTGCTTCTGATGACTCGTCGGGGGCTGGAACAGGAGACTCGTCAGCGATCATGGTATCTAGTACTGTTACCTTTTCTACCACAGTTACCACGAGCAAGACATACACTACACTCAACGTCACCTCGCCGGCAACAAGTTCTTCTTTCTCTTCGATTCCGGCCCCTATGATTAGTGCGAGCGTTGGCGTTTCCGAGTCGGATATTGGTACAGGCTCTAATCAAACATCTTCAGAGACTCTCTTCACATCAACAGCTCTGCCTATTATCAATGCGACATCTGACTCAGTCACCGAGTCCTTCGCTGTGACCACTGTGTCTGAGGGCTCGGTTATTACTATCTTTCCCGGCGCTATCATTCCAACAAGTAGCGCTACAAGTATGGTGAACAACTCCGTTTCTACACAGTATTCCACATCTGCCCCTTCGCGCTTTAACTCGTCAATGTCCATTAGACGGACTTCATTGTCTTCTCAGACAGACTCCTTGTTTGACTGGCCAACTTCGACGCTGACGAGTTCACATGCTTCGGAAGCTACTCTGGAGGTCCCGTTACTTTCTTTCCCGACCTCTTGGCTTTCGATCATTACCACGTCAACTCGAGGCTCATCTAATGGTTCGGCACTTGGTAACGTAACGGTGATCAAGACAACAATGACTTCTACCATCACTAGCAGTCTCGCACCAATAAGCCTGTCCTCGTCTGGCAATGTCACGGTGGCTCATACCACTAGTGGGTACAACTTTTCTAAAAGTGTGGGATCCAGCAAGAGCACATTCAATTCTCAGTCGACCTCACTCGACAGCTTTCCTGGTATCAGTACCGTCATCATATCTGAGCAGCCTACCAACTTCCCTTTTCTAACCAACACAAGCTTGGTTTGGCAGTCAACAATGTCTCCAATGTCGCTCTCTGAATCTGACAAAACTATCGGCCCCAAAGGCAATGATGCTACATTCTCTATAACAACAGCTGGGTTCAACAGCACTACTCCTTATACCAACTCGACTACGATTATGGCCAGTGAAACATACCATTCAAGTAATAGGGATGAGGCGCCGTCCGTAATTACTGCTGGGACCTCCGGGTCATGGAACACGACTAGCACCGCTCAGTGGTTCACCAACTCAACTATCCAAGCAGCAGTTACGGCTACCCGCACTGGCTCTGACTTAGTTTCTGGAACTCAAACTTTGAGCGACACAGCTGCCGTCACTCCTCAACCTCCCACTTCGCTAAACGTTACACTCACCACTATATCAGGCAGTATCTACACTAAAACGTTCACAGATGTGACAATTACTATCATTACGCCGACTTTCTCGACGACATCTGAGAGTAATTCACTCCCAACAGTATTGACCAGCAAGGCACCTTTTCCTCTTCCATCAAACACCACATTGACGGGAACCGGGGCTTCCCTTCCACCAAGTGGTACAGGGCCTCGTTTCACCATTACCGGAAACTTGGGAGACTTTTCGACATCCAGTGTGACCATTACACCATCGATCAGGACAACCTACCGCACTGTAAACACCACAGTGGCTGGCACCACGACTGATACTTCGGCGTCTGCTTCGGACACAAATGAACCACTCTTCCCAGTCTCCAACTCAACTAATCTGGGCACCATCAGTCTCTCGACAATCGCTTCATGGAGGCCAGATCCCGAGCCATGGACGACCTGGCCAACATTGAGCCTCACGAATGAGCCAGGTTCCTCGACGTGGAGTGTAAACAGCGAGATTTCAGAGTCGACGTCATACACTCGAACTACAACCCGGTCTTTGACTTCTACTTTGGCGGAACCAAGGATGTCCCACTCTTCTGTTCACAACCTCAGCAGTGCAACCTCGGGGTCAACTTCTTATACTCCTACCACGACTTTGACCCTCACAACCACCTTGGAAGAGTCCAGCACTTCCCCGTCCACCATTGACAACAGGAGTAGTGCAACCTCAGAGTCCATTTCATATACTCGTACAACAACCGTGTTCCGCACTACGACTTTGGGAGGGCCAGGCGCGTCCCCGTCTGCCCTTAACAGCTCAAGTGATGATGCTTCGTTGTCAACCTCATACACTCGTACTACGACATTGACTCTTACAACTACTTTGGCGGAACCCCCAACATCTCAAGTATCTGGGGCTGCAGTTAAAAATTCATCTGTTTCCACATGGACTAACGTAACCTCCGGGGTCACTGACTTCACGAGCACAGAGACTATCTCATTGGCCACCGTTACATCGTCGCTCTCAGGAACACTGACGACTTTCTTGACAACTGGTAGCGCAAAGGGGGTATCGACCAGCCTTGAGAGTTCCGCCTTGGCACCAATCCCTGTGGGTACCTCAACTCTATCACAGGCTTCTGGAAGAACATCTTCGGGGATTGATACTTTGATTGATACTTTGACGGGCACACACTTCTTGACTGGCTCGGCGGGAACAGCTACCCCATGTGAATCTACATCTACTAGCTCATCGACCTGCACGGATTCAGTGCACGACGCCCCGACCCATACAGCGATTCCAGCTAGCACCGATTGCTTGACTGCAGCGAATGGACCAGTCTCATCATTGTCGTACGTGTCGGCACCAACAGCCACTGAAGATGTCTCATCGACCTACAACACAACAAGCAGCATGGTGCATTGGTTGAACATGACTCTCACATTTGGTGTAAAAGGTTTGTGCTATTCTTAATAGGTAAAATCATCAAACTAATGAAAGTCAGATACAGAAACAAGCACCTGCCAGCCGCTTACAACGTTGCGGACAGTCACAAAAGCGCAGACTGAAGAATCAGGCTCGGCTGGGGATGATTATCCCACGCCAACAGGCAGGGTCCCTGAGGATCCCAACTTTCCATGGGGCAATGACTCCCCAATTCATCGTCATCAGAACTCGTCTGAGCTTGGCCCTGGCGAAAGTGACGGCGATGGCGATGGAGGTCTGAGCAAGAGAATCAACTGGCGCCTGCGGTGGGAGAATGTCAGAGACAAACTGGAAGGTCTCTGGCATGGACAGGCTTTGAAGTCTGAAGACTAAGTCTCAGGAGGAAGAAGGCACGATTTGGATTGTGTTTGTAAAACATTCCCTGATTATGAAGCATGGCATATCGGGGGTTCATTTCTTTCTACGGACATGTTGGTTTTCTATTCTAATTCAGCCCTGTTTGTTGGCTTCGATTTCGGTTTCGGTATTTCGGGCAACTTTAAGGTCCGGTCAGGGATCACAGTGGTCAGACCAGGCCAGGGCAGGGGGCCTTGGTTTATTACGAGACTTGCTGTGAGTTGTTTGAAAACACAGACGTTACGGATGTGTGTACAAGACTTACATAGTTCATGCTATTAACCATGTCGAGATTATAATAAGTATCGTTTTCCTTTGACGAACTCGTCTGGTTTGGGCTTTTTGATCGCGTGCTTTGTAACAGATATGGATGTGGATGTGAGACATGTAAGTGGATCATTGGCATTCTTGGCTGATACTACGAATATGTACGCGTATTGCCAAGAAATAAGCACCTAAATAAAGAAGGCCGATAAATTGATTGTGATTAAAGCACGACAAGTCTGCTGATTCAGTTCATTGAAGTACATTACTACCTAGGAGTGTAAGTTAATAAAGATGTAAATAATTGTGTACCTGCGATTGCCTCTTTCTGACCAACGGTGAACGGTAAGTGGGCAAGAGGCAGGAAAGTGCATGAAATAGCTGAGCCAATCACGCTAGCGCAAGAAAGAAAAGTGAAGTTAAAATCGTCGTCATCGGCGGGAGGGGTCGTTCCTTCCGGCCCCAGATTTCGTGCCTCTTACACTTGGACTTTACCCAAAACGGATCCCTTGCCACCGAGACATCCGACGCCTCAAGAGAACAGCACGTTACCATCAGCTGCATCTGCATCTGCATCCTTCATTCTTCCCTCTTTTAATCCTTTCTTTATTCTTCACAAACAATACCAACATCGCCATCATCGTTATCATCACCAATCAATTAATCATCGCAATACACAAATCACGTACACTGAAAACTCCGTCACACCATGCTTTTCAAGCCGCTCGCCCTTGCAGCGACCGCCGCTGCTGTGCTCATCGTCCCAGAGACTTCTGACAAGGACGACAGCATCTTCCGCGCTCTTCCCATCGAAGTCGACACTTTCGAGATCCCCGCGACCGCTTATAGTCAAGTCGTCGACGTCCCTTGCCTCCAGTGCCGCGGCCATGATAGCCAACTCGAACTCAATTTCGGCATTCAAGACCGTCGCCTGGTATTAAACGGTTTCGAACTCTATCCACACGCCGACCCTTGGAATGGAGACCTGTCGGCTGCTGTTATCAAGGCCAACGGCAAGAGCGATATGCGTCGACTGGGATATGGTTTGGCTATTCGACCTGAAGGAGTCGATAAGGATCAACATCTCGAGGTTGTCAATGTCGAAGTCAGGATCATCGAAGTCGGCGACCGTTTCGTCGACGGTGTCCCTCCTGTCACAGTAAAGCTCATCAAGGCTCCTGTTGGCGAGATCATCATCGGAAGCATCGAGGTCAAGGGTGCTGGCGAGAAGGCACCAGAGGACTGTGATATGTGGTGCCGCGCCAAGGGTATGGTCCACGATACCTGGAAGGGTGTCAAGGGCAAGTTCAAGGGCTGCCACGAAATGAAGGGTAAGGGTAAGGGTAAAGGCCATGGTCACGGTCGCAAGCCCCATCACGGTCATGGTAAGGGTGAGAACAAGCCTACCGACAACTTCAAGCACGGTCCTCTCGTCAACAAGGCCCCCGAGCAGTCGTGGAGCGATGTTCTTACACACGTTACCGCATATATTATCATCCCTGTCCTTATGGGTGTTGCTGCTGGTGTCGGAGTTGCATTGTAAGTTCATTCCCTGCTATTCTTCAATTTGTATACTAACATATTTAGCTTCACCATGTTCCTCTGTGCCATGGTTCTCCGCGTGATCCGCATGTTCAAGGGCGAATCCGCTGAGTCCGAGCCAGAGCTTGCCCCCGGTGCTGCTCACAAAGCCGCCATCGCCGAGATGCTTGTTGAAGACGAGAAGTCCGGTCTTATGGTCGACGAGGAGGCTCTTCCTCAGTACGAGCCACGCAACTAGAAGTCGATTTCTGAGACTCTGTACTAGCCCGCATCTTAGCCGTGGTTGATAGAAAAGGGGAACGCACACTACCAACACAGCCTTCTACGACAGGCGTGTTATTGATACCAAAGACTGTATGTTTTTAAAGGATTCGGACTCGGGATAGGCGTTATGGGTTTGGTGGATGGGATCATGTCTTATGAACTGGATGGCCACCTACGCATCAGACTTGGCGTGGCTTTCTTTGGTAACGATTTGAAATTGTTACTGTCCTTTCTTTAAAGATTCAGCGGTGTCTATTAGGTTATGGATGGTCTAGGCACTGTTGGCTAAACTTGAAATAAAACGAAAAATTACCTTACACTAATACACTCGTCTCGGATTTAGGTATTTGATGTATTCGGTATATGTGACCAAGATCGCCAATTATAAAATAGCAATGCTACCCAAAGTCTATATCCCCCACAGACTGTGGACCCTGAATGGGCACTATCCGCTCACACTCCAACTTAGCTTCCACTTTGGGGGAGCATCCGCAATCCGAAGTCACGAAGTGTGGATAGAAGGGTCATGTTGTATGCGGGGTTTCGACTCGCTATATTCTAGCCCGATCCCCGAGTTTAGCTATATAACTAACTACTTGTTCCCATCCAATCTGGAGTAAGTTCTAAAAGTCTATAGCTGCTACACTACTTTCGATCCTGTTTTGTCTTACTACTCTCACTCTCACCGACAATACGCATAGTACGGTCCGCCACTTATAAACACAAGATGTCACAAACAGCTCGCCGATTCGCTCAGATCGTCAAACTGAAGCCTCAACACCTTGCTGAGTACAAGGAAGTCCACGCTAGAGTCTGGCCCGACGTCCTCAAGCAGATCCAAGAGTGCAATATTCGAGACTGTATGGCCTATCCTGAAGTGTATCTGTAAGGCAACTGTAATAGAGACTGATCGCTTGTATAGACAGCATTTTCTACGATGATCAGAGCCACATTCTCTTCGCCTCGTTCAAATACATCGGCTCGGACTACAGCGGCGACATGGAGAAGATGGCAAAGAACCCCCGTGTGAGGGAATGGTGGAAGATGACAGACGCCTGGCAGGAGAGTCTTGTGCCTGGTGCAGTGAGCTCTGAGGCCGGCGAGCCTTCTTGGTGGAAGCCAGTTGAGGAGGTCTTTTATCAGCCTTAAGGTGAATAGAATGCAACATAAAATTCAGGAATGGTATAAAGAAAAGTCACAAACACTCCGGACTCACCAAGAGCTTATGATCTAAATCTCTTACGATTCATGGCATCAAGTATCAAGTCCTGAGGCCTCTATCTTTTGGCACAACGCCCTTGCTAATCTCGCTCGCGAGTGTTACATACTGTAGAATGGGTAGTAGTAGAATAGAAGGATAAAATGAAAAGGGCGCCTCCGAAATGCCTATGCAAAATTCTTTCTTTTTTCCTTCTTTTCTTTCTCCGTCTTCTTCATCAGTCCCGTTACTTATTCCTCACTCGTTACCATCCACGGCCCGGCCCTGGCGAAGCTGAACTGAAGCAAATAACGAAACGAATGCACTAGACCGACGCCATCATTGCGAAATGCATATTTACCTATGTTCATGCGTTATATACAGTGTCTACTCTTGACTCCTGGATCATCTGGAGCTCGCTGCTACGCTTCACCTTGGACCATGGACTGCTCTACGTCCAAGGGACGGGTGGATGGGAGCAGCCATTGGAGATAACACATGACGCTTCACGTTTCCTCCTATTGTCTTTGATCCGATACTGATCTTGTACCTCAACAAGTCAACCGATTCCTTGTCGCCAATGCTGACATTGGCTGCCTCCTTTGCCAAAACACCTGCTTCTTTACGAGCCTTGGCAAAGAATTGTGCAAGGCTAGATTGAGCGTCTTCGGCACTGTCCACGTCCTCCTCCTGCAACACATAGAGGACGGCGATACGCGCAAAGTCGAGGACCTCGTTTGTGATCTTGAACTTGGTCATCGGGTCCTGTGTCTGCGATGGGTCTGCTGTCACTGAGGTCTGTGCAGCATTGCCAGCGTCGCTTGTTGAGGTTGGCGCGTTTTCGGGGCTTCCCTCGTCAACCACCAGCGTAGTTGGCGCGGCGGTTTCGGAGGATACGACGACAGCAGGGGCAGTTTCAGGTGTACGGGCAACGAGAGTCGGTGCAGCGACCTCTCGCTTGAACTGGAGAGCCAGGCTGTCGAGCAAAGTCCTTTTGCGTGTAGCAGCGCCATCAAAAGTAACCAGGGAGTTCTGGGCAATGCAGGACAGCTCTGCAGCATTGACCTTCGCCATGATGGCAGTGCCAGATAGAGGGATAGAAAAGTTTTTCTGGCTGTTCTCGATAAGGCGTGGAATACTTTTGCCAAGCGTGACGTTGTTCAGATCATTGCCCAAGTCTGTAGTCGTGCAACCATCGGAGCCACCAGCGCTGCAGTCGGAGCCTGTAAAGCCATTTGTGCAAATACATGAGCATGTACCCTGCGACATAATATTTGTTCCACCGTTCTGGCACTTTAATGATTCTTGGCATTGAGCAAGGGCAGACTTTGGCTTTTCATCATTGCCCAAGTTCTTAAAGACGAAAAATTCCAATGGGACAAGGACAGCGGCCAGAATTATGCCAACAAGTAAGAATAGTAAGAGGACAAACGCCCACACAGGCAGACCGCAGCAGCGCCGACGTCGCTTGCCCTGGCCTTCATCCGAAGGCGTCATCTCGCGAAGGCCAGATCGTGAAGGAACATCACCCTGACGGGTGGGAGCTAGGGGCCAAGATGTCGTTCGAAACCAGGATCCACGGTTCTGTCGCTCTGGCTGTTGTGCGGGAGGGGGGAATGCTGCCAGCATATCCGATAGTCCTACGAGAGGTAAGTTCATCAAAACATCACATCCTAAAGCAGATCTTCTTACCTGAGTTTTCTTTGTCACCCCCTCGAGTCTGCCCCTTGTCGTCAAAGAAATCATTCAAGTTGTCGAATCGGCTTGCTGGTCTTTTGCCAGAATCAATCATGGTCGCGAGGCGAGTTGCACGTCGAATCAAATCAGGCAAGCTGGTGATACTGCCTCTCTCCTCGGCCCTTCTCACTGCCTCAATGTCCAGCTTTGGGGGTCGTCGAATAGCCGAAAGTCGACTATAAGGCTGAGGGGAAGGTGTTGGCGCAGGAACTGGTACTTCTGACAAGTTGGTGGCGCTGGCAGCAGCATATGCACCCAGAATAGCGTCGGGGCTAAGGCTGTCATGAGGGTTTTGCGAAGGTGCCGATGTCTTCGCCAGAGGAAGGGTGTTAGAAGAGCTTGTTGAAGCATCGATATAGCCGGTTCCCGAGTCGAAAGGCTGAACCGGCGATGGTGCAGGGCGGTGATTGGGCTCCATAATGAACGATTTGGTAGTAACAATTGAAGGCTTTCCTCTCTTGCCGATGCTTGCACTGCGGACAAGTTTGCTCTCATCATGAAACTCGTCATAGGCGGAATCCTGACTCTTGTTGTCCGTCTCATCGTAATACGAGGGACTGGCCGCCCGAGAACCTGCAGGCCAGCTTTCAGGCATAGCCGCGCTTGAGGCGTAAGAGCCGTGCGATCTCGAATTGAGACTCTCTTCGGGAATCGGCGAGACAAAAGACGCGTGCGAGTAGAAGGATGATGCGCCCCGGCGAGACGAAGGGGGAGGTCCTAGATTAGCGCTCGCTCTGGGGGGGCCCAGGTTGACACTTCTTCTATTAGAATCTGCAGTTGTCGATTGATTAGGCTCAGGGAAGTCAGGGAGTGATCCAAGACTAGAGGTTGTCATTCGGGAGGATGGAGAAGGCGGAACGGAAGAGTGATAGTCATCAGACTCGGGTGTGAGGAACACTGGGGTCGGTTCTTGAAGTCGAGACTGATCCAGCAAAGAAGGAACTTGGCTGGGTCGGGGTGGTCGTTGAGGGGCCTGAGTTGGTCGTCCAGGTGGTGGTCGATATGGCTCGGGGTCGGGCGAATTCATAGCGGCCATCGGGGGGCCGGGTAGAGGCCATTGTGGAACTTGCTGTGGTCGAGATATGGCAACACCAGGATTTCCACTTCTATAATCCATGGCAGGCGCAGCCTTGGGTTTCGGAAGCCTTGATTGCGCGGAGGGGTGTCCTCCCAAGGGTCGACGAGGAGGAGCCCTTAGTTCGCCAGGCGGACTGTCGTCCATGTTGTCTGGGTACAGAGGCTGCTGTTGCGGATATCCACCTTGCGCCATCTCGCGTGCTCTCCTTACAGATCCAGATCCGAGTGCTGAGTCCATCCCTCTTCCATCATACATCTGACTCATTTGGTTCCTTTATGCCGAGTCGAGTGTCGTCCAAACCAACAGCGTAACACGGTTAGGAATCTGGTAGCGAGCCCCTATATGCAGTTCGACTGTATGTAGGAAGCCTCGAAGTTGCAAAGAACCGAAGTGATGAAATGATGCGAGTATCCGATGACCTACAGCGCTTGAATCGTCCTTGTGGAGAATCACTGGCACAGCGTTCGTATATGGAAAAAGCAGTCTGTGTCCGAGTTGTTTGGGGTGCTGCAACACAAAAAGTTGAACTCTCTTGGACTCGATCGGGTCGTACAGCCACAGGCTACGTCGAGTTTACGAGAAATGTGAGAAGCAAAGTAAAAATAGGCAAGATGAGAACTGGATAGAAGAGAACGTGAGAGAAAATAAGACGGATCGACCCAAAAATGAGAGACTGTTGCACGGTAATCCAGACCTCGCAGGCGCTGCAAGCAATGCAAATGAGAAATAGTCTGAAGAAAAGTGTTAGTATTACAAGGGGATATGGATGGAAGAAAATGCGAAAGATTGAAGTGAAACAACCAAGATGACATCCAGGCCATCTCAAGATTTGGTAACAACGAAAGGGAAAACATACCGAAGAAGCGAAAGAAGGTCACGACTTCATGAGATCATTTGGGCGCGACAAATCAAGTCAACGTCACAGGGGCTCGCAATCAACGACTAAAAGGATGGAAGGGATCGGTTCCGAGGTAGAGCAGCACAGCAGATGGGGACGAAATTCGAGTCGGAATCGAGAACCAGTGGGCAAAGGCCAAAGTCGATGCCGACGTCGTGAGACGAGGCGGCGTGTCACCGAGGAGATGGCTCTGGACGAATCGCGTTTCAAAGTTGCGTCTCGATGGTTTGAGGATGCTCCAGGTAATGAGACGATAATGGTTGTGAGTGGTGAAAGGAGATCCCTATAGAAGGATAGAACCTAAGGCCAGATCGATGAGGCACCAATTGTTTGTTGAGGAAGGCGTGGTGAGGCGTCTGATTTCCCAGCTCTTGCTCTTGCTTCTTGCTTCTTGCTTTTTCTTGAACCTGATTATCTTTTTGTGGCCCCTTATTGAACTGTCAAAATTATCAAGCAAAAGAAGAATAAAAAAGAAAGATTGGTCTGATTATCTTCTAGACGGACCCGGAAAAAACAATAGTAAAAAAAAAAGAAGAGTTGAAAAAAATGTGCACAATAGAAGCACAGTTGGAGAAGAATCAAAAGTAGTAACGAATGAATGTAACGAGGCGCAGACTACGGCAGCTTGGGTCGAAGCAGGCTTGTAGGTACCAGTACAGTACAATAGGCACAAAGAGTGCGGGTGAGGTTGGAGAGGAGGAAGAAAGGCGAGGCGAAGCGAGGGGAGAGGAGAGGAAATGGAACTGAAAGGATGGACGGAGTACGACCCAAGCCCCAGGCACATTAGTAGATTGGTGAGGCTTTCGGGGGTCCCATGGAGTTCAGCAAGCACCTCACTCACCTGCGAAACAGGGCTATTCCACAATGGAATACCTAGACTAGACGGGAGCACGGGAGAGGCACAGAGACAACGAATACTCACTCACTCACTCGACTGATCCAGTTATTACGGGTGAGCAAGCCCCATCACGATAGCATCTTGCTGCAGGATCGTCGTTATTCCAACATGGGACCACCCTGCTCACTTTCACAAACGCCATTCAAGAATCATATTCACCCACACGGAGCGCAATATGAACAGAGACGATAGAGAATCAGAGATGAAGGGGCAGCGGTCATGACCTCTCAAAGGGGCGCATCTGGCCGTTGGCCGTTTTTCCCCATAAATGCGCGGGAGACAAGCCACTGCTCTCCCACTGGCTGCTCGTCCGTCTGAAGTATGAGTCCCACCAATCACGCTAGAGCATCGTCTGTCGAAAACCCCTCGAAGCCAAGCCCAGCCAGGCTACCTACCTAGGGAGGGGTCCCTTGCAACAGCTTTTCAAGTTTAGCAGAAACACTAGCGTGCTCTGTTCCTGCAGCTCGGGCCCTAGTCACAGAGTGCAAGCCACGTTTTTGACTTTTGAGCTGTCTCACAGTCAGTTTGTGTCTTTGTCTTTCTCTCAACACCAAGACCAACACAAGACGAGATCCATCTTTTGTCAGATAATTTCCAGGGTTCATGCTCCTCTTCTGGGGCTCTCGGATGTCTTAGGATGTGCTCCATACTTCATCAGTCTTTATATTCTTTTGTTCTGTTGAGAGCAATTTAATGTGACTCCATCAGTTCGGAGGTAATCTTATTTGTTTCCTCCGCCTTGACAGGCCAAGCTTTTTGAGCTCAGCCTTGCACCGAGAAGCTGAACAAACGTTCACGATAATTTGATTACTGTCAATTGACACAACCGAAGTAAACAGCCGAAGTCACGCTACAGATCAAGCTAACTCGCATGGGCTCGATTAGATGGACTACCCCGTTAGTGCACGGTAAGGCTTCTGCCTCGGACATTAGACGATCACATTAAGTAGCGTCCGTCGTTTGATGCTTAATGAGATTCAATCTGTTTGGTGCACTAGCCACGGTCATGCGCGATTTCATATCAATTGAGTCCATGGCCTTTAATTTCTTCATATCACCAACAGCGCGTCCGCCAACTTGAGCCTGAATAACCTAACATTTTGCGAGTTTAGCCTGCGCTTTTGTACTCTGATACAGAATTCGCTCGGAACCGTCGGAGCATCTAACAGAGTGACTAGCATTTGCGACGCTTCAACTTTTATCGTGTCCGCATCTTACGATAACTCACAAGGGGCCCTGGAAGTCGACTTGTGTCGTGTACATTTGAGTCGAGGTGGTGTTTCACCCTTCAAGATCTGGCTTCGATCGATTCCTTGCCCGGGCGTAAAGGAAAGCCTTTACCGTTGTGTGACAGTTGCTTCGTTTGGTCGACAAGATGACATTTATTAAAAATAAGTAATTACTGTTTGTTTCGACTCGAAGCTTCACATGATCAAAAGCAAACGGCCATGAATGGCAGTACATAATTGATCAATGTTCGGGCGTCGGGTCCAGACAATCAGACCTGCAAGTTATCACTTTAGTTGTGTTCCATCGTCCTTCCTTGGCGTGTTTCATGTTTATCGGTGGAGGGGCCCTTGAACGTCATCAGTTGCCAGGGTGGGATGGATCTTTGTCAAGTGTCGATCAGTCATTGATTTTCGACAACCCGCGTATTCCACGTATCTCTAGGGTAAGCTAATCCAACCGTCACAAAACAAAAACTATTTGTCAATATCTAACAGCGAGAACATGGCTTATTTAGTATACGGAATATACAGTTTCTTATTATATTATATCTAAAGACCTCTTTTGACTCAACTTCGGTTCTCTATAGTTGTGATATTCACTATTAGGATACCTCATTGTAAATCTAAAACCAAGGCACGTCCCATCAGTGAATTTAATCAACAAGGCGATTGGATTCACATAACTTAAAGCCAGGTAAAGGGCGGGTGTCACAGAATAATGTTTCGACACTGGGAACATCTGCATTCCAACGTCCAACAGTCGTGCATGCGTTGGCTAGTGGGTATCAGTTCCATTCAGAGATGGGGCGTACACTCGACTATACGAGCTTGGAACATCTCTATATATAACTTACGTGTATGTCGTGTAAGCTTACGAGTAAAGCCTTGAGGACTGTAACAGGGATGCGCCGGACAAGTCATACTGGGCTATTAACTTATTCACAAAGCACTGTACCATGTCCAACCTTTCCCAACTCTTTGACAACTCACATGCCTACATAAACTTCAATAGTTGCCTCTAATAAATTAACATATTTTACTGCATACAAGTCATTACATTCGGAAGACGCCAAATTTGGTATCACCCGCCTTGACCTCGTTTCTACCTCCCATAGCAGCCTGCAGACCCAGACCCAGGTATCGTCTTGTATGTTGAGGAGGGATAATGCCATCGTCCTACAAGAATGTTAGCCTCGATTCCTTCACAAAGAGCCACGAGGATGTGACTTACCCATAATCGAGCAGAGGAGAATGTGGCATCGCTCTCCTTCTCAATACGCTCCTTTAGCCCACCGTCGACAGTCTTGCCGACAGTCTCCATCACAGCAGCCAATTGCTCGCTACCCATAACACCAACCTTGGCGTTGGGCCACATCCACAAGAATCGTGGGCTGTAGGCTCGTCCGCACATTCCGTAGTTTCCGGCGCCGTAGCTGCCACCAACGACGACGGTGAATTTGGGTACATCTGCACATGCAACAGCTGTGACTAGCTTGGCACCGTGCTTTGCGATACCGTCACGCTCAGACTGTGATCCTACCATGAATCCGGAAATGTTCTGTAGGAATACCAATGGGATGCCGCGCTGAGAGCAGAGCTCAATGAAGTGAGCGCCCTTGACAGCGGACGAGGCAAAGAGAATACCGTCATTGGCTACAATGCCAACCTTGTGGCCGTAGATCTCGGCGAAGCCAGTCACGAGAGTAGTACCGAAGTCGCGCTTGAACTCGGAGAACTCAGAGCCATCCACAACACGAGCAATGACCTCGCGAATAGGCAGAGGCTTTCGCAGGTTGGTGGTAGCAATGCCAAGAAGCTCCTCGGGATCGTGGAGAGGTTCTGAGAAGGTAGGCTTGGGGCCTTGAGTCTCTGGTGACTTCTTGGGCCAGTTGAGGTTGCTAATGCAGCGACGAGCCAATACGACAGCATGTGCGTCGTCCACAGCCAGGTAATCTGTAACACCAGACACAGAAGAGTGCATCTTGCCACCTCCCAAGTCCTCATGGCTGACAACCTCTCCTGTCGCAGCCTTGACAAGGGGAGGACCGGCGAGGAAAATGTGACCCTGCTCTTGGACGATAATGCTCTCGTCACTCATTGCTGGGACGTAGGCGCCACCTGCTGTGCAAGGGCCCATGACCACAGCGATCTGGGGAATACCCTCCGAGCTCATGCGGGCTTGGTTATAGAAGATGCGACCAAAGTGGTTCTGATCGGGGAAAACGTCAGCTTGGTGGGGGAGGTTGGCACCGCCGCTGTCGACGAGGTAGATGCATCTGGCAGCTGTCAATTCACATATCATGCTGTGTGAGATGTTTGGTTACATACGGTAATTTGTTTTCTCTTGCGACAGCTTGCGCTCGCAAGTGCTTCTTGACTGTAATGGGATAATATGTGCCGCCCTTGACCGTGCTGTCATTGGCGACGATCACGCATGTCACTCCCTCGACAACACCCACACCAGTGATGATACCGCCTGCAGGCACCTCAGCCTCTGGATAGAGCTCATGACCAGCCATTGGGGAGAGCTCCATAAATGTAGTTCCAGGGTCAATCAGAGCCGTAACTCGATCTCTGGGGAGCATCTTCTTGCGTGCGATGTGCTTCTGTCTGGCCTTCTCAGGTCCTCCCTGCTGAATCTTGCGGGCGAGCTCCTGCATGCGGCTCATGACCTCGCTCATCTGCTTCTCATTCTCCTTGAACTCGTCTGACGACGGATCAACGTTTGTCTGAATCCGTGAGATGGCATTGGCCTGGTGTGGAGGAGTGAGATTTGCGACAGCTCGTTTCTGTGAAGATATCTGTGTGCGCCGACTGAACTGACGACCGAGCAGTATCGCCTGGCGCGATGAACGTGATAGCGTCATATCTGATCTAAAGGCTCTTTTTGGTGATTCTGAGATACTCAATTCGCTCTGGAAGAAGTCTGCGACGAGAGTACGAGGCTCTTTCAAGGACGAAGGACGGAAAATAAGGAAGCTCTTCTTAATTCTCCTAAAGAATGAACAGTTGCTAAAGCCGAAGCGCGGGCTACGCCAAAGGCCGAGGCTTGTGACGTCGAAAACCTGGGGTAAGCGGGCCGGCCGCTAGAAGCCGCGACGAGCCGGGTCTATCAAAGACGGCTATCGAAGCCCGTGTTTTCCGGCCGCTTTTCACTCCCTCGGTCGTGTCATTTTCAAATCTATCTAAGAAAACAAGGGAAAAAACAAACAAACAAGATAAGCAGAGAAATACTCTCAAGATCTTATTGCTCTATCATTTACTTCATTCATCTCAGCCTTGTACACCTTCACAATGGCAACAAGCGTACGAACATTCAGATCTCTGGCACGACCTGTCGTGGCACGTCGGTTCCGTCCAGCTGTCACTCTACCCGCCATTCAGTCTCGCTTGCACTCCTCTAAACACCCCAAAGGCTTCGAAGCTCCTTCAAATGAGGAGCTCGAGGAGTTGAGGGAGCGTGTGCAGGAATTCACACGCCGTGAGATCACAGAGGAGGTCGCCGCAAAGACAGACAAGACAAATGCCTTCCCAGCAGAGATGTGGCAAAAGCTTGGTGAAGCTGGCTTCCTAGGCATCACAGCTGACGAGGACGTCGGCGGTCTCGCTATGGGTTACCAGGCGCACATCATTGTCATGGAGGAGCTATCGCGAGCCTCTGGTTCTATTGGTCTCAGCTACGCAGCACATTCACAACTCTGCGTTAACCAGTTGCAACTCAATGGATCTCCAGAGCAGAAGAAAAAGTACCTACCTGGCCTCATTGCTGGCACAAGTGTTGGCGCGCTGGCCATGTCTGAGTCTGGTGCTGGCAGTGACGTCGTCAGCATGCGAACAACAGCAAAGGCCGTTGACGGTGGTTACGTGCTGAACGGATCCAAGATGTGGATCACTAACGGCCCTGACGCCGATGTTATTGTGGTTTACGCCAAGACAGAGCCCGAGAAGGCCTCTAAGGGTATCACGGCCTTCATCGTGGATACCAAGAGTGAGGGCTTCAGCTGTGCCCGCAAGCTCGACAAGATGGGCATGCGCGGCAGCAACACCGGCGAACTCATGTTTGACGGTGTCTTCGTACCAACAGAGAACATCCTTGGCAAGGTCAACGGAGGTGTGCGAGTCCTGATGGAAGGTCTCGATCTGGAGCGCTTGGTGTTGAGCGCTGGACCTCTGGGCATCATGCAGGCTTCACTAGATGTTGCCCTACCCTTCACACACCAGCGCAAGCAGTTCGGTCAGCCTATTGCCCACAACCAGTTGCTCCAGGGCAAGCTGGCCGATATGTACACGAAGCTCCAGGCTTCTCGTGCCTATACCTACACAACCGCCAAGGCGGTCGACGACAACGGTTTGATCCGCACACAGGACTGCGCAGGAGCTATCTTGTATGCAGCTGAGCGGGCGACTGAGTGCACACTTGACTGTATTCAGCTTCTTGGTGGAATGGGTTATGTTGAGGAAATGCCCGCATCACGATTGCTTCGAGAGTAAGTTTAACACCCCTTGTTGTCTCTCCGGTATCAATTTTGCAGAGATTGAGAGCCTTGGGCACATAATTGTATTCTGAACTGTTGACTAACCACATGTTCAGTGCCAAATTATATGAGATTGGAGCCGGTACTTCCGAGATTCGAAGAATGGTTATCGGCAGGGCTTTCAACAAGGAGTATGCGCAGGCTTGAAGAGGAAGTACAACAATACAACATTATGCGTGGGTTCACCTATGAAAACACGCACCAGGATCAATGCATGAGCCATGGAATAGTTTTTTTTTAAAAAAAAGGCCCCGAGCTAGCAGATTAGCTCCACAGGTGTAGCTATCGTTGACTCTCGCAGGGCCAGTTGTTAGACGAGAGCGATCCGATCTTGATCAAGCATGCTATGATGCAAGAATTGCGCATCATGAGATTGGCCGGAATGGATTGATTAACCAATAGAACAAAGGAATTAAGAAACAAGAAGATAAAAAATTCAAAAATTCAGGGAATTATCAAGTCTGACGAAAGTTTGTGAATCTCACGATGTACCAAGCGACAACCCCCACGCAACGTAGGAGTAGTCAATGGAGGCTCAATTAAATCCCCGACCTTGAACAGGCATGTCTTCGTTGCCATTGGATAACTCAGAATCTCTCGCTTGCTGACAGAGTTCATAGCAAATTACGGAAGCATTGATCAGGAATCCAACGGTCGAGCACTGAATTATAGAGATCGTGATATTTTGTCTGATGGTGTTGAGTTGCCGGCTACCCCCACCAAAATGACATTTCCTATCAGACTCTTGTCACACCTTGCAGCAATGACAAGTTTCCATTTGTTTCCAATGTTCCAATAATACCGCTCGGCGAAGTAATCGGGTTCAAACCAAAACTCGAATAAAAAGCCCTGGTTGATTTTGCTTTTGATAACCTGGCCTGGTCGATTTGCCGAGGGCCTCGTGACACGATGATCCGATCCAAACAGGTCGGTCAATTTCTCTTGTTTTCTTCTTACTAGTTCCCTCTTCTCTCTCCTGAGTGAGACATGAGACATTCCGATCGATCAAACTGTGACTACTGTCTATTATGTTTGTACTTCTGACTTTGGCATGCCGAACAGTGAAGCGGTGCCAACACACCTCACCTGCACACACCGAGTCTAATAGACCCGCCACCGACATGTTGAAGTGGTGGCCCTGACCATTCTTGGCTTCATGCCGTGTGCATCTTTCTTTGCTTTTCTTCTTCTCAAGTCACTCTACCACCGGGATCATAGGCTATTGCAGCTTGCATGTTGAGGCTCTGAAACACCCAGTCGGACACGAGTGATGATTTACTTGTCTAGAACGTTTAGAAGGTCGGTTTTGATGCCGTAGAGCGGAGCTATGCGGCCACGGGCAGGGATTGTAGAGACAATTGGAAGAGAGGAAACATTGGCTTTGGGGAGTTCTTCCATGGGTATCGATACCCCATGCTCTCACCTGGAGAGCTCCTTGGTTAGGCGAGTGTTAACATTGTGGGGATGTCTCTGACCTCCACCTCTGGATCCAAAAATGGAAACCCGGGACTGTTCAAGTGTCAGGGGTTAGTGCACTACCGCGATCGGGCTTCTATAATTTTGGGTCCTCAAGATTGAATAACTGCTGCCTGCGAGTTTCTGGGCTACCATTCATGTTAGTCTCCATCTCGCTTAAGCCATCGAACATGTTGGAAGACTTTGATGGTATGATTCCAGTATCTTCTCAGTATAGTCCAGAGGCTACTTAGGAGAGATGAAGTTAGGCCAGGCTCTTGGGTCATTCTCTTTAAATTGATGCCTGGGGCGGGGTTCCCATCCAGTCAGTCCACGCGATATCTGAGCGTACCTAGACTGTAATAATATCTTGGTAATGATGGGTAAATGAGGGGAAAGGGGAGGAAGACGAGATGGATGGGAATTCTAGACCGTCAATCGTGATGTGCGTTGCCAAATTGGAACAATTGGAAGGGATCCGCGCACATGATCCCCGTTGATGCATCGTGGATTCGAGATAGAATTGTGGATTTATCCATCAAATGTCGTTGAGATGAGATGAGAGCCGGCCGAACCGGGGGTGGGGGCCAGGTTTTTAGTGGACTTTGGAGGCTTTTTTGGTGGGGAGCTCTCCCGTTACTCGGGCCCAGGCCAGGCGGGATGAACGACGAGCGCTACACGAGATCTCAAAATTTTGGGAAACGTGAGGCTCAGCACGATATCAGCAAATACTGGTAGTCTAGTTCCATTTAAGAGTTCTTGGTGGTGTAGGTAATGTAACAAATAAATAAACAATTGCTTCCCACCTCCATTCCTTCATCATCAATTATCTCCATCCACGTCAGCTCCTCCTCCTCATCCATCCATCCATCCAATTGTCACCATTGTTCTCCAATTTGGATTACAGTTGACTTTGGCGGCATCATTGGCGCACACATCTTTTCCCGCTTTTGTTCCTGGGCGCTAATCAGCAGTGCTTATCCCTGCACCATCGACGTCAAGCTTAGGGAGCTCCAGCTTCAAGCTCTTGCCACCTGAGCTCATAAGTCTTGGGTATTGGGCTGCCACTGTTTGCTTTATAAAACAATATCGTCTCTCTTTAGAGAGTCTTCCTTTTTTTTTCTCCCTCCTCCACGCATCTTCTCGTGATACCCGCACTTTGAGTTGCTCTTTGACTATGTCTTTTGCACCTGCTCTTCGCCTTTGTACGCGCCGCGTTGTCGCTTCAGCTCTGATCCGCCCTTCTATCACGTTTGCTGGTGCACGAAAGCTTCACAGTGGCCCTCCTCGTCAGGACAAGCCCGGAAAATACGCCCAGACTGATCCTCAGATCGAGGTCGAGTACCCAGAAGACCATGAGCTCCCTAGCAGTGAGCCTGTCGCTGGCACTGGTGGCCAGTACGTGAAGCCTACACTTCCTACATTTTCGCTTGATGGTCATGTCGGTATCGTCACTGGCGGTGCTCGTGGTTTGGGTCTTGTCATGGGCCAGGGAATGGTCTTTTCTGGCTCTCACCTTGCTCTTGTTGACATGAACAGTAAGTGCATATCTTATGATCAGCGAACAAAGAAGTCATGCTGACCATGTTGCAGAGGAAGAAGCCGAAAAGCAGACCAGTCTTCTCATTGAAGCTTTCAAGAAGGAGAACCCTCGAGCTCGACGGTGAGTCCATCATTTCACAAGCTCCAATTGTGCAAGACTAAACATATTCCCTAGAACCCCCAAGGTCACAGCCCACTATGCCGATGTTTCTGACCCTGAGTCTGTCGAGGCTTGTATCGCTGAGGTCGTCAAGGAGCATGGAAAAATCGACAACCTGGTCACTTCAGCTGGCTTCACTGAGAACTTCGAAGCCGTTAACTACCCCATCGACCGTCTCCGCAAGCTTTGGGCTGTCAACGTTGACGGCACTTACCTCTTTGCGACCTCAGTTGCCCGCCACCTGATGGAGCGAAAGGCCCCAGGAAGCATTGTCATGATCGGTAGCATGTCCGGTGCCATTGTCAACGTCCCTCAGCCCCAGGCTCCTTACAACGCTGCCAAGGCTGGTGTTCGACACCTTGCCGCATCTCTCGCCGTCGAATGGGCTCATGCCAACATTCGAGTTAACTGCATCTCTCCTGGCTACATGCTTACTGCTCTGTGAGTGCACTCAAAGCTGCTTCCAGTAAAGCTGTAACTAACGTGGTCACCACAGCACCCAGAAGATTCTTGACGACAATCCTGATCTGAAAGCGAAGTGGACTTCTCTCATTCCTCAAGGTAAGATGGGTCAACCTCAAGATCTCATGGGTCCCGTTGCTTTTCTGCTGTCTGATGTAAGTTTACTCCCTGGCATTTCGAAATTCTGAACTCATCGGTGATCCTTGACAGGCCTCCTCCTATGTCACTGGTGCTGATATCCGAGTTGACGGCGGTTACACCGTAACCTAAGTTTCAATGAAACAAAGGCGAAAAGGAGTTTGGCTAAAATTGCACCCTAATTGGTTTTTTCATACGGTTGGGCTGGCGTGCCCGATGGCGATTGGAATTCGATAATGTATCTAATGAGACGAGGAAACTTGCACATCGATCGATGCCTTGAAGAAAATGAGCACCTATGATTTCTATAACTTTTGACATTGACATTGACCTGTAACTTGATTTATTGTCAAATTGAAACATAAATGTTTAATGCGGTCAGAAATGGGTTGACACTTATCAATAGTAATGTTATTACATGAAGTGTTGTATATGGACACATGTCTTGAGGATCCCACTATACCGATGTGAACGAATGGTTCAAGGGGTTTTTTGGGTTCTTTGAAATGTTGTGTTCCGGCAATTCTTTCGTGTTTCCTTGTCCGGAGTGTACATTTGATAGTGAAAAACGATTGGGCATGGTTGTGAACATTCGCGTACTCCGTAATTCTTCTTTTGCTTATCAACTCATTCTTACTTTGAACATGCATTTCTCGGCAGCACTAAAAGGCCAGTTGAAAATTTTCATTCATCGTAGCTCAGCCCCTATCGCAGTTCATGATATCCTTAGATAAGGTACCGTGCCGCACCATACCGTCAAAGAGATGCGGGTATGTGACACTTCCCGAGATCGGATAGCTGCAGATTAAAACCCATGACATTCCCGAGTGCAACCCGCCACACCCAGCAAATGCCTGACGGTACTGCCGACCGAAACAGGATCAGGCTGCAGAGAAACCCCAACACGTTCGTTGACACCGATGCCATGGTACAGCCGAACAGCTGCCGTTGTAGGTTAGATCAGCTACAGCACACAATCACGTTTGGATGCAACTATAGATGCAGCCACCACGATTGTCGGGTATCAGTCAGATGTGAGGGTGAAAACTCTGAGATTGTGTGATTGTACGTGGCCGTGGCCTAAAATCTGGCACAAGATGGTGGTTGCAGGATGGAGATGTTGTGGTAGGGTATGGTAAGCTTTAACCATGAATCTGGATCAAGTCTTATCCACGGCCCATTATGACAGATGATGAATAAGTTGATACAAGAACAGTATTTGAATCAATGCTCATAAATGCCACTATAAGCATTCCGTTGTCGTCGTTGGTCCAAGGTATGTACCTACGCTGTCTTGAATGTGAATATTCAACATCAACTTCATTATCACTCCATACCTGACCTCCGACATCCGATAGTCGAGCGATGACCCTCCGAATGGTACAGATGGCGCAATCACCCCGAAAATCAGTGTCGGCCCGCGGTGACCAAATAGGAAGCTTTGTATTGCATTTTTTGATCATCTGCAACCCCTCCATCTCTGACAGAAGCTCCAGTCCAGGATCTCTAACAAGGATCCCCACAACCATGAAGCTTGGGTGTGGCTCACAGCGTGGGGAGGCCTGTCGACTCGAAGCACCCGAAGGTACCTTGCACTGGACTCTTGACCACGTGGGTGCGTGACCTGGGTGAGATAGACGATGAATGAAGATCTCGCCACAAGCAAACTCGATGGTATGTCGATAGCAGGTCAACCACGCACTCATACAGGGTATGCATGTTTGTTTCCCCGGACAAAGGCCCAAACGCGACGTGGTCATGGTCATGTCCATGGCATACAAGAGCTCTTTCAAGCTTAAGCTCTCCACAGTTAGCCGAGTCTCCAAAGTCTCCAACTCTAAAGCCGACGTTGAGCACCTCTCATCATTGCCGGTTTCGACCAAGGCACAACTCTCCATACCGGTACGCGTGACGAATCCCGCAATTCCTCTCGGCCGACAAATGCTTGAACTCTCGAGAAAGTTTACCTTTAGTCCAAGCCTAGAGACGGGATGGCTGGCTGTGAACCCCTCCTTTCATCATCTCAGCGTCAGGTGCCTCCAGGAACAAGGCGACCTCCGCCCAAAGAGTTTTGAATTGGTCTCGTGAAACATTACAGCACAGCTTGGAACTTACTTGGAAGCGGGGAAGAGCCTCAGAGAAGCGAAAGTCTGATAAACGAACGCATCGAGTCTGTGCTGCCCCATGTGGCTGATGTGGTCAGTCACACGACCATGACGATGCTGGGTACCTTATTGATCGACCCCGCCGAGAAACAGATCAGAAGACTCTAAGAAAATTGCGCCTCCTGCAAGAGGAAAAGACAAAAGGGAGATAAAAAGAAAAGAAAATCGCAATGAAAGGATTGAGCCGTAGTGGAGGGGAATCCCGGTAGAATCTCCTACAGCCAATCCACTCAGCCAACCAGGTTGATCATCTCGCCCGGATAGAGATAGTCTAGTTTATGTCAGACAATGTGACGGTTTCAGCTTCTGAGAGGTCAGGAGATGAGTTGCAGATAAGTTAGGCTCTGAGCCGTTATCTGAGTCGTTAATAACTGTTCTAGAACTCGGTGTGAAAGTCATGTTTCGGTTGGGTCGAAGATCGTGCCCCTTTTGGACGGTATTGAGTCAGGAACTATGAGGGAGAGGGCTCGCAGAGCCGCAAATCGTGTACATGATCGCCTCTGTTGGTTATGAGGCCAAAGCCTCGACTGTGGTACTGCACCTAGATAAAGGCTGAGAGTCCGGGAACTTGAATTGTCTAAATTCAAGCTGAAAGAAAGCCGTTATAGATCAGGGTAATCAGTTATGACTAACTTTCGATCTGTAAAAGCCTATTGACATGGAGGCGGTGAATTCATTCACGGTCATATATCATTCAGGCTCGGAAGGCGGCCAACACGAAACATCTGGGTCCTGATTCATAATGACAGCTCGCCCTGCATGAAGCCGGACAGTATTGACTTGGAAGTTGATGATTGGTGATATCTCATTTCAGTATTGGGCCCGTGACCTTGATGTTGAGATACATATCCTTGTCGATGCTGTAGGTAGCCCCTGTCCCCTTATGCACCCTACATAGAGCTCTCAGCCACAGGTACGAGATGGGAGTGAGGAGAGTAAGGTAAGGTATTTGTACATAACAACTCTAGGGGAGACAAAGAAAACTTGAGACCTTTATCCTAAGTGATAAAAATAACTAATTAAATACCTCTCTAAGCTTAAACTAAGCTTGTATAAATCTTTTTATCACTTAGAGTAGAGGTCCTAAGGTTTTTTGCTCCCTGAGGCAACTGTACACAGCTTGTCAGCCCTGCTGCCCATCCATCAACAGATATTCAGTGAGATGTAAGACAAGACTACAGGTGCAGTGCCTAGATCTTTGAATCATCAAAGGATAGAACTTAAAATTCACAGTAGAATTGATAAAGGCGACTACTAATCTGGATTTAAAATTGGGTCAAAGTTCCAATCATCGTATGTAGAATGGATCTCATTAGTCGAGGTCAGCCCCAAGTCCATGCCCATGTGAGAATAGAAACCCGTGAGGTTCAGCCCAAGGGCACGTCACAGGGTGCCCGCGTGTCCGGTAGTTCAGGTTCCAGTGTAACCTCCCCTGCTAGCGCATATTCTCCATCCACTGCCCTTGTCTGTCTGTGGGTTCAAGAAGTTCATCAAGACTGAGGAATATTGTTGGGCTCTTTTGCTGCGAGATGCCAAGCAGATCTACTCGAGTATTACATCAATTAGATCCTGGTTCTTCAAATCTCTTGCATCATGTCATCATGATATAGCCGTAAGCTTCTCTGAATCATTCCTCTCCTTTGACATCCACATCCATAGCACCCAAGGTACTGAACCCCAGGGCTCGTAGACCAGGGGCAGCCACTAGAAGCCCCGCCAAGCTCTGCTCCACGGGTGCCTTCCTGAAGGTCATGAGGAGCTAAGCTAGGGAAGGAACAGCCCCATCGTCAACCCAGATCACCAACGGAAAGAGCTCGAGTTCCAGTCCAGGCCATCTTAAAGCCCAGGGTCGAGGTTTCCTTTTTTCCATTTCCCCATCCTGTTTTTACTTTTATTCTCCAACCTCTTAATTCGACGTCTCCTTAGCATTGTATTCCACTCCACTCCTTGTACAATTCCTTACATCTCTTCTCCCAGCACCTGCACTGTCTTCCTCCCTGACAGTCGTGGCTTGCGTGCTTGCTTTTGGCTTCTCACTTACAGCTCCAGCACCCGATAGCACCTCAAGTCCACTATTGTCTGTGGAGGGTCCACCTCCACTGAGCTACCTTACCTACTACTCAAGCACGATAGACTACGACGCAGTACGTACCGGCTTCGACAGCACCTCAGATGAGGTGACAAGCATCCCTCACCTCACCTCCACCAAAGAGATAAACGTGCTGGGTGATAAGTCGCTAGAGCCCGGCCCCCTGGCGCTCTGGCTCTGTCCAGGCAGAGGCTCTGTTTCATTCCGCTGTCAGGGTACTCACTCATCAAAATTGGATCATTGTGGCCTGGACCGGTCAGCGAAGTAGCGGCCTCTCCGGAAGGTACCTGACCTTGTTCGTCTGTCTCTCCACCGTCTTTCGCCGCCATCTTGGCCGACCAAGCGGACGGGACTCCTTTTCAACCGCTCTCCCTCCCGTCGTCACAAGCAAACTATAGGAACCACTGCCTTGCACAAGCTTTTTGCGACACACCGATCTTGTTATCTATTCTTGCAACTCCGTGTCTTTTTTGAAAAGTGCTGAGCCGGCACGGCATCACCTCCGAAGCTTATCGGCACCAGGTTATGAAGACGTGGGAGTCTTCCGACCACTTGACTTGTACAAAGAGGTACTCTTTCACCTTGAACCAGCATCAGCTGCCGCCTCCGACTTCGCCGCCACTATTGAAGTTTTCATGTATACCGACCCAACGGAATTCAGTAGTCCGAAACGTACCCATGAAATCCAGCTCAAAGTGCTCGATATCTTCAGCCATTGTCATCAGTCCCTCCACCGGCTCTCCACCGTCTTTTTCTCCGGTTCACTAGCAGGTACAGACTTTTTTTACCTCTGGACCCTGAATTTTCTATATCTTCAACTGTCCATTCTTCTTTTCGTGCCCCTAACCCCGTGACGCGCAGACTTTATTCGTTCCTAAAAGAGGCTTCAACCTGCAGATGTAACGAAACAGCCCCGAACACACTGTTACACTTACACGGCACCTGAACGGCCCTCGATTTAGATCACAACTAAAGCTAAAGCTCAAGCTCACGCTGAGCTAAGCTTTCTACTGCATCACGGAGTTTCACTCACCAAAGTTGTCTCGCTTCACCAGCACAAGGTCCACAGTTTGTTACTTTCGCCGCTTTTTTGCACACGAGAAGCCAATTTTTGCGCCACGAGCTTACGAGTCACAAGCCATCTCGAGGTTTGAGGTTCTCTTTGCAACGTTGTTTCTTTCGGAGGGAGATCAACAATCATTGATCCACGCGAGAAGAACAAAATAAGAGCAGAGACAAAAAGTATTGTATAACCTGCAGCGTCTGTGTGCCCTTAACAACCGTCAGCTGCTGCACCTCCCAGCCCAGCCAGCTTTGGTGTTGTCCGATCACAGGACCGTTGGAACAACAACTTCAGCGATCCAGAAGCCATTTACCAGCGAATAATCCTTGGCCTTGCTTTCAAAACTTCTAACGACTGTGTCAGTGGTTTACGGCACCTAAATTGGAAATTGGCCATCGCTGTTTATTGAGTGACACTGTGTGTGCCTGCAATCATTTAACCTCTGTCGATTCCACCATAGGCCCGTTAACCCTCACTTATTATTCAATTTAGCGACCATGCTTCACATTGCTAGTCGTCGATAAGCACTTTTACGTCGAAGAATCACTGAGTGGCATTAGCAGCCGTGCGTTGATCACACCAAGTGCATATCCTATCGTTGCGGAGGCTGCTGAAGACTTCAAAATCCTCAAATATGGATTTGAATATGCCTATGATACTGCCAAAGGGCATTGTCATCAATTCCAAAAACATATATAAAGAGGTTGCTGATTTTCCTTTGGTCCCCCCTGACAAGGTTTGGGAGTACTGGCATGGTAAATTTCTAATCTTTCCTTTGCCATTGAATACTACTTATGCTTTCCTAGTGTATACGACCACATATAAGAAGCTCAAGGATCCGACTGCTTGCCGACTTGAAAACTTTTGGTGGCATGTTTGGGGAAGTGATCGCAGGTTTCTCAAGGGTAGTGCCCTGGCAAAACTTTACGAGGAGATCTCGGTTGGACCAACCTTTGTCCCCCTCAAGGGACCGCCAAATCGATGGGAAGGACCCGATGTACGTGCCATTGAGGTTGATCTTCTCACAATGACATCCATCGACAACTAACACAACCTACCTAGATACCACCCCTGATCAGACAGATTCTAGAAGCCGCTGAATCTCAGGCGACCCCACCACTGACACAAACCCAAGGGTCCCGCCCTTCAAGATCCACCGACTCAGCGTTAAGAACATTATCTTCAAGTGCCTCAAAGCCGCCACCCGCCCACCCAATCTTGAAAAAAGCCCGAGGGCCATCATCATCGGGGCCTCGGCCAACGGCTCGTTTTGTATCACCCCATGAATCCGCTGATGAGGACGAGATCCCCTCTTCAGGAAGCACAGCTGCGACAGTGTCTGAGGCGCCCGTGTATGTAACGGATCCGCCGAAGAAGAAAATGGCCATTGCACCCCCTCAGAAGCTTACCCCCTCGTCTCCCGTCACTAGTAAGAAAACCACTCAGCTAAGCAAATCATCATCAAGCGCGGGACCGGTTGTTCGAGAAGCCGGGGCTGGAAAATCGAGCGGGCCAAGGAATGGCACGCTGCAGCGGCCCGTAGTTAACATTGCTCGCACAAGCGTGGAATACGACCAACCAGCCTCTAGGGACATGAATGGAATGACCAGGGAAGGTCACCCATATCCGATGAGCGAGAAGGCACGAGGAAAGCAACCAGCAGTTCCTGTTCGGCCAGTTACATACAGAAACGAAGTCGTCAAGGACGTGATAGAAGAAGAAACTTGGCCATCACCCCCTAAAGATCGACCTCGAAGCATTCATCGAGAGAAGGGTGTGCTCCCCCAAGCTCGCTCTCTCATAAACCTTGCGAACCACGGACCACGAAGAGGGTCTGGAGCTTCTTCAAGGTCGACTATCGGAGTGGGATCGCTTGAGAGTGGAAGGAGTCTGGAAACCCCCCCTATGGCACGATCCCATTCCCATGGCGGATATGATCAACCAAAACCGCACAACAACATTCGAGCACCTGGACTCTTTACGGAAGCCACCTCATCGACATCCAACGTTGCGGTGACTGGCACAATTCTCGATCAATCTGGGTTTGGATCCACGTCGGACTTGAGTACTATCGATCATTCACGGCTTGAACATCACACCATCCCCGTTGTACCACCACAACCCTCTATCCTCGATGCTCGTTTCACCCCAACTCCTCCTACTACAACAGCTAGTGTACCTCTAGGACGCACAAAAAGCCAGCTAACACTACTACTTGAACGAGAAAAGGCACGAAGCGGTGATAGATCGCGATCCAGAAACTAAAATATTCTTTGTACCCCTAAAAACCATTATGTCACCGTTATTCTGTGTCGTGGTAAGGTCTCACCACGGCTATGTACACCATTTATAAACAAGGGCCTAGCTCACATATTAAGCAAAATGCTTCTTTCTCCGTATGACTCCAGGTGCATGGTCACGGAGGGTCGGGTGGGTGCATCAAAACATTTGCGGCCCGCATGGTCATTTGAGATATTTCCCAATTTCTTGCTATATGATAAAGGACTACTGGCTCAGAAGTGAAAGTTTGAAAGCCGCGCGTATGGTTCTTCATACCATAATCGAATCAGGGGGCGGGGCGTTGACGGCAAAGCTGAAGACGGGCTAAAAGGTCTATCTCACGAAGGAAATGAACGGGAATTCAGTTGATACCAGTTAGATAACTAAAAGCAAGGCATTGCAGATGCTGCTTAGAACTTGATATAAGCGACGTTTTGAGTGTATGTCATTACCCTGGAGCTGCCAGATTTTTTATTTTGCATATTTAATCGAGGGAAAGAAAGCATCATATAAAACACTACAGTGGGAATTGTCTCAAGACATTAATATCTGTCCTTCTAATAATCAGAAACCATCCTCTTTCGTTATCCATCTTTAAGTAAAAGCCTAATTATTCTTCACAACATATCCTACGCTTTTGCTACATACCAGACATATTAGGTGAAATACGCCAGGTTCCGGTGCGGCGTTCGCGGTTGGTAAGGTAGGTTCTAAGGTAGGCAAATGTATTTTGGGGATTGTGTGACCTTGTGCGTGAAGGAGATATTCCAACTCTTAACGCTGATGTTGATAATACTGGTATCTAATACTACAGCCATCAAACTGGAGGACTTAGGAAAAAATAGCTAATAGATATTACTCTTAATCTTTTTGTAATCCGGGGTTTGCACCGTATGTTTTGTCCAACCGACTTGACCAGTCCCTCAGGGTAAGCCGTCCAATCCGTTACCTATACCAAAATTCGATGACGCGTTATAAAAAGGGACGGAATGAGAATTCCCTTTGTGAAGAAAGCGATGCTTGAGCGAGTGTGTTGAGTGTCTCAAAAGAGGAGGAATAAGTTTGATATGTAGTATAGTAAAGCATGATTCATGGTACGAAGAAAAGGGCAAGCCGAGAAAGCCAGCAAGAGACGTCACTAATCATCAAGCTTGAACATCCTGCGCAGTGTCCCAAACTTCTTCTTCTTGGGCGTGCCGACCTCTGAGCCGTCGATTGAGGCTGAGACACCGTGGTTGGCAGCACCAATTTGGCTGTGGGAAGTACTGCGACGCTTGAGGAAGCCCGTCTTTGTTGTTGGGGAGGACGGAGAAGGACCCAGACCGCCAGCGGTGGAGGGGCGCTTCTCTTCGTCAACGACGTATGTATTTTGAGAGCCGTCGTCGAACTGATCCTCCTCTTCGTGAGTGTTCTGATGGTCCTGGAGAGGCCAGTTTGCTCCGCGTTTGTGTAGACGTGAGCTATGTGCCTGGCTCTCACTATTACTTCGAATAAAAGCGAGTCGTTCAGGGCCTCGTTCCAGGTGCGTGTCCCGACGCGATGCGCTTTCACTGGTGCTTCGAGAGATCTTGTCAGCAGGATCCTTCTTGCGACGCAAAATGGACGACATGAAGCTGCCACGTCGTTTATGACCTGGTCGTCCACCTGTTATCTCGACGCTGTTAGCCTGCGGCGCAATCGCGTCTCGTCCCGAACCGCTTCGATTCAATGTTGCCCGAGGAACTGTGATAGCCGTCCCATTGGAAGCAAGATTCTCTCGAGGTTGCTCTTCCTCGTCATCGCTGTCAGGAAGGTCAGGAGAGTCTTGGACACCTGCGCGAGCAGGCGGGACTCCCATAGCGGCGGCGGCAGCATTGTTTGAAGCAGAACTGCGCATTGTTTTAGGTACACGCTTCTGCCTGGGGAGTGGTGAAGGGGTATCCTCGTCACTTGAGTCGACAAAACGACTTCTGAAGGCTGGGCGGCCCTCATCCTCATCACTGGAATCATCGAAGCGGCTACCGCTCTTGGATTTCTTCCCCTTGGAGGAGCGGCCAAATCCAGAAACCCGCATGCGAGAGGAACCTGCATCACTGGACTCAGTACGTAGTGACTGACGCATACGGCCGCCCATCATAACTGGAGGAGGAGAGCTAGTATTGGAATTGCGGCGAAAGGCTGATCCGGTAGGTGACAGAGACCGAAGGCTGAATCGGCTGCTGCCCCTTGCGCTTTCTGTTGGAGGTGCTGCTGCCGCCGACTCCCGTGTACCTCCTCTCATTGTCTTACGGAAGCCGAAGCCTTCTCCGCCGCCAGCCTTTGCACGTCGGAAGCTGCTTTCGCTTGAGTCAGATCCTCGGCGTGTAAGGGTTGGCTTCGCAGTAGATCGCATGGAAGGGCCCCTGTCTTCAGAATGCGCTCGACGCTGCGACTTGACCGCTTCCGACGTGGTCACTGGTTGATAAGAAGTTGGCCGACCACCATTTCTCTGAGTAGGAGCAGTATTGTGCCCATTAGTCGCCGAACCATTGGTCCTAAGCGACTTGCGCATCGCAACACCAGTAGTAGTCTCAGGCTCTTGACGAAGGGACTTGCGTAAATGCCCATCATGTAAGTTCTGAGGGCTTGAAGGAGCAGCGCCGGATCTCATAGATTTGCGCATGCCTCCGGTTTGAACTGGCTCGGGATGACTGACTGTTGTAGCCTCACTAGCCCGCATAGATTTTCGCAGTTTGGCACCTCCAGTCTGCTTTGCTTTCTCTGTAACCTCATCACGAGGCCAGCTAGTACCTGGTTGGATTTGGTAAACTCTAGTTGGATTGCGAAGCTTTTCTGAGACAGGTGCATCTTCCGAAGCCTCCAAAGGCTCTTGCACAGGCTCTTCAACAAGTTTCTGCTTTTGCTTCGCTTGGGTCTTTGTCTTGGGTTTCGAGCGTCGGGCTGCTTCTGCTGGAATGTCTTCCTCGTCAGACTCCTCCATGGCCTCCTTCTCGAGCTGGCGTCTGTCCTTGGGGCTCAAACTTCTCCAATAAGCCTTTGCTGTTTCCCAGTCACTGGGCGTTTGAAGAGGATTCTGAGAGGGAGTCTTAGTATGCGTGGACTGCTGAGACACATCGTTTTCCTTGGGTTTTGCAATTGCCTTCTCAAACACCTTCTGAGAGAATGCTGATTCGACGGGGCCGTCGACTACAGCGTCAAGGGACAAGAAACCATCGCCTTCCATGTCAGAGAGATCCTCATAGGCGTCACTGTAAATGCTGCTCCCTTCCGACTCTTCCGACTCTTCCTGGATGTCATGCATCTGAGAGTTTGAAGACACTGCACTAGTGGAATCGAAGGACCGACGAGTCGCAATTGGTGCGGGCTGATCAGCTCCTTTGGGTGATTGACTTGGGCGAGGCTCTGACGAGGATACCTTGGTGTCCTCGGAAATAGCCTTCTCACTTGAAGCATTAGTCGGGCCGGCTGGGAAGCCCCCGGGAACATCGAAGAAGTCTTGCGGCGACTCTGCCTGGTTCTCATCGGGGATTCGGGGACTAGGTTGTATTATCGAAATGGTTGGTATGTTGTCGCTTGGACTAGACTTCGCCGAACTACTCTCAGAGGGGCTGCCTGGGTTGCTAATAGTTGTTTGGGTCTCGGACACAGGCTCGGCAGAAGCTTGGGATTTAGATACAACGCCTGATTCGGATTCATCATCAGAGCTCAGGTCACTATTGCTTATATACCCTTGGCCATCAACAGAAGTGACCACGGGGGGTAGTGGTTCCCGGTATCTGGAAGTATTAGCTTCGTTGCGGGAGGCCTGTTCCTGTGCCAAGACCGACCCAATAGCCAGATCACTTGACTGCGCCAAATCTTGGGCAGGAGCTTTGTGATTCGATTCTGAAGGCAACGAATCTGTAGCTGGAGGTGAAGCTGATCTCTCCATAGGCCGAACCAAAGGTCGCTCCTCAGGCTCCCTGACCTTCTTCTCGCGAATACTCCCAAAAGAGGGGAGAGCAGGACGAGGGGTCATGGTCTCGTCCTCGTCCAGAGTTACTGAGTCTCTTTTGTTTCGCCCAATGATGCTATGCCAAGACATCCTTGACTGTGGGCTGGCAATTTGTGAGTCTGTATCCGGAGATGGAATAGACTCCCCGATAACAGCCGTGTTTCCATCATCAAAGCTCACCCTGACGCTCTTCTTCCGCGAGAGTTCTGTCTCCTCACGCCCAGCCATACCTGACCAGGCAGCAGACGCATCTGAGCCATCTTCTGAGGGAGATGCATCCCGAGGACTTGAGTACTTAAGTGCGGACTTTCGTGGCGACAACGACCTTGGAGGCGGCTCATGCCTAACGAGTAGCTGATCGGTCTTGGGAGCAAAATGGGTTGTACGGGCAGGGCTGCGAGCAGGACTTTCAGAATGCACTCGGCTTCGGCGCACAGTCTCACTGGGACCTGGGATTGGTGTAGCTTCCGGTGACTGTTGAGGTGGCGAGGTTGATTTCACAGGGATGGCATTTACTCCATCCATTGGGTGTTCGTCGGTAGGCGCCGGCTGGGCAGCCTCTCGTTGTTCCTCCTCCTCTAGTTCGGGGTCTTCATGCACTACAGAAGGACGCTTTCTAACCGATGCTTCGGATTTTGTTACTGCTGGTGGGCTTACAATAGTCTGATTCGGATGTCTCGGTGTCTCGACACCTGACTCTTGTTCTTGTTGGATTAATGTTTGTCCAGTTGACAGGCTGGAGTTGGAGTTGGGGTCAGGCTTCACCTCACGCGTGGTTTCTGGCTCAGACTCAGGATCTGATTCGAGCTCAGATTCAGGGTCAGCTTCTGGGTGATTGGACTGCTTGAGGTGCCCAGGCTGTTGTGTTATCGCACCATAAGTATCTGAAGGGCTTTGTGGGCTTGCGACTGCCTTTCGTGGTGGTGAGGCTGGCTCGACTGCAGTGCCCTTGAGTCTCCCGACGGTTCCCTTGGACAAGTGAGTGCCAGTCCTGGGTCCGGCATGCTTTTGCTTGCGAACAGGTTTCTCTGATGCATCACGGACAGTCTGATCTATCATCAAAAGCTGGGCCTGAGGAACCATCCGTCTCGAATGGGGATCGTACACCATGGCATTGCTTGATGGGCTTGGCGGCTCTGTCATAGAGCGAGGATACGAGAAGTTGATAGAGTTCGGGCTGCTTGGCCGTAAATCTGCAGATGCCCGTTTATCAGCCACAGGGGCGCGACGTACGTTAGACAAATCGTTCCCTGTAGCTGCCCCAAACCATGAGCCTTGAGCTTGGCCGTTTTTCATCTTTTGGCTTGCGGTTTGGAAATGTTGCGTTTGCAAGCTTGTTGCTCGTTTGTGGGTCGAGCTCTTCGGATTGGTCTTGTTGTGCTCATGCTGGGGAATCTTGGGCACTGGAGGAACATCCTGGGTTTGCGGGGCAGCGAGCCGTGCTGGTGAAGGCGAGGGTGATCGAAAGGTCCGTTCTGTCATAGAACTCGCGCTCGGCGATCGATGTAGTTCCCGACTCCTCCTGTCCCGACTTCCTGTAGACGAGACGGAAGCGCTCCTCCGCGCAACTCGTTTCGATTGAACCTGCGATACATTGGTGGGGGTTGTAGGTCGTGCCTTTAGAGCTGCAGCCGCAGCAGCTGATGACAGAGATGGCGTCGATTCACGCCTTAGAAAGGCCGAGGCGGCGGCTGTCGCAGCGTTGGGATTGGCAGTCTCCCGGGTCAACGGCTGAGATGAGAGCGCCATGTTAGCAACGACGTGTAATTGCGAAAGCGATGGAAAGGAAAAGAGAGTCGGATCGAGAGGGAGAGGGTCGCATCAAGGGATAAAAGCCAAAGACAATAATCAAAGACAAAGACAAATGCGGCAAGTCTCGATAGGTGAGCTTAAGTTAATGGCTTTTGCCTACCAGGGCGGGTTCCATAGCGGGCCAAAAGCCAAAAGCCAAAACCGGTTTTATAGGAGTCGCAATAGTGAACTACACAGAGGACGAAGACGGCTCACCTGAGTGGGAGGACGATGCCTCCTTGAACCTCCAAACATGATGGGCTGGTTTAAGCTTGACTAGATCGAAAGCGGCGCAAGGCCAGCTCAGCTCAACAGACGGCTTGCATCAAGATCAAGGCCACGGATTTTCGGAGGTTAGTAAATAATGACGCTGAGATGTGAGTCAAGGTAGTCGTAGTAAGAAATGCTGTGTCGTGTACGGAGTATACGTCAGGATTAAATGGGATGGGTTGAGACGGAAATTAGGGCAGCTAAAAAAGTAGTTTGAGGAAGACTCCAAGGACTGGACGGAGACGAGGGAGGGAGGCTCCATGTCCATGCTCGTTAGAGACCTGATGACGACAGGTATCAAGCCACTAACACTAGCCTCAATTAGCAGACCCCACCCACGCTAGCCCTCTACCTGTACTTAGCTTCTGGGATGTAATTTTTTATTCCGGTAGTTCCATCTTCCAGGGCGCATTGCATCCAATGGAGATGGAAACTCAAGGGTCCAATAAGATAATTGTGATGGCTTTGCTTGAAGTGATAACCATCTATGTCATACAAACCTCCTCCTGTTACTCCATGGTAGTCCACGTCGACCAACACGTGGTTGTCGTTGTACAGACTGGTCCAACACAGTACACATACACATACATATAATAAACCTCAACTTTCCGGTTTTCAGTAGTGCCATCACAAAGAGACCCCCCGTCTGCTGCACAGATCCAGAGATCAGTAATTCAAATTGTAGATCAGTGCCTTATCAGGTCCCGTCTCGGCAGGCCTCCAGTTTCCACCTGCCGAGATCTACAAGATTGCTCAGCGGAATAAACATAAACAATCTGGGGACTAATCTTGCTTGGTTCTTAGGTTGCTCGACCTGAGGCACGCGGCTCATTCAAAGACTGACCCTGGCCCACTGAGGGACTGATCTTCGTGGTAGTGGTATTGTTCTGTATCGGGATTCGGATGGACCTGGGAAACAAATGGTAGCACCTAGCTGGAGAACAACGAGACCGTAAATCATCTAGTTATAGAAGAAAATACACTGCTCAGGGCGCATGAATTCAATCAATTTTATAGAGCATTCTTTACAGTATACTACTGCCAACACAATTCAACCGCTCTTGATTTCCTCGATTCTTCACCATGTATGCTGAAGCCCCGTATTTCCGCATATCCTAGATCAGAGCCCACCTCAAATCTCCAGCTGAACTGAACAGCTTTCTGACGTCATAGCTTGACTAGGACGTTTCAATCATAGCCAAGTCGCTTTCATGCAATTTTGCAGCAGTTGTCTGTGCATATTCATAAGTTGAGGCAGAAAAGCAATGCGTGGTTAAAAAATGTTGAACAAGTTAGGATAGCCCTGTCATCATACAATGTGACTTTGGTCTGGCTGATTGAACCCAAATGCTGTTTGTGGTGGCCCAAGCTACAACATTCTACCTATTCCTATCCCCTATCCTTAAACCAAATGCCACTTTCGTGTCGTTACTGAGCCGCCTCCCCACCGAGTGGCTCAGTCTCTTGTTATCCACACTTCCCCCAATAGCAACAAGCAAGAAATCCGTCGTAGGCAGGGCTCTGTCCCTTTCTTCATCTTCAAGAGCAAGAGTACCTCATTTTCGGATACCGGACACCGCAGAGTGTCTTGGTTCACTGATATCTTCGAGGTATACATCCCCTTTCATAGCTTTGTTGGTCGACGACGTACCCCGATCATCAAGGCTAAAATAGGGAGTACCGCGATTGCTGGGAGCAGCCCCTTCCACCGAATCATGCTTGCAAACTATGATGACTGGACCTCAGTCGGTATGTCTGGCCCAGTGCGATCTCCTGGGGAATTCGGGAAATGGTTCTCGCCCTCTCCTGACTGATTTGAATGGTTGTGGTTCATGTCCACAGATGTGCTTGGCTCCTGAGGCGGGTTCTGAGCGGCAGCATTCTCTCCCCGAGACGCAGGTTTCTTGCCGCCCTTTCTGCCCTTCCGACTTTTCTCCTTGGCCTTTTCGAGAAGTCGTTTGCGATCAGCTTCTTCCTGTCGGCGTCGGCGGTCTTTCATCTCATACTGTCGGATCAATGCCCTGGGTGGTACTCCAAATATCATCTCGTATTCGCAGAATTCGCAAATCCACTCATCAGCTGTTTTGGAGGAATCCCGTCGCGCCTCTTGACGACGACGCCGCGCAGCCCTTTCGAGTGACCTGTCTAGACGTCGTTTGCTGTCTTGACGAGAACTTCCGGAGCCTCGACTAGCTGCCACGGAAGACCCATCGTGAGGAGCAACACTGCCAGGTGGTAAGGAGCCAGGGCCAGCCTGAGTCGACATGCTGTGCTTGCTCGCGTGACCTGACGGCTATGTCAGCAAATCAGGGTCTCGACTATGCAATATGTACTCACCGGGCCACTGAATCGTGCCAGGAACTTGGGAATCACAGGTGAAAGTAAACTGGGTCGATGCTGGAGTCGATTTTGTTGCGGTAGAGTGTTGCTGAAGCAGACTCACGTTCTCCTGTCCCTGAGGTCGAAGTTTCTCGGCGTTTGCGATAGCATTTGATATTATACCACTGCCCTCTTGCTCTGAGTTTGCGTTAGCAGCTGGAAGTCCGTTATAAGTAAAATGCGCCCAGTTGTGGAAGAAACAGAGATCAACGTAGGACTGCGGGGGAGAGAATCCCATCAGCCAAGCGGCAGTGCAAATTGTCACCGGAAGAGATATTGAAAATGGTGTGCAAGTCTCCGTTCCGTTTTATGCTGGTAGCCGAAAGCTATGGAGGGCAGAGCAGGAGAACCCCATGGCTGAACAACCTCTCCGCAACGAAAGGCGTACCGGCATGATATATTCGGAAGCTCGGTTGAATGCATACGCTGGTGATAAATCCATATGTAGGAGTTTGGAAACACAGCAACAGAGCATGAAAAAAGTAGAAGAATGATTGACGTACCGCCCGGAGCCCACTGAGATGCCGTGGCTTTTGAGCCTCGCCCAACCCACGCATTACTGTTGCCATCAGACAATGCTCGCAGCGGGCTTCTGCCGTTCCTTGAGCGCCCAAGCCTGCCCCGTCCAGGTCCTGATATTCCCTGATTGTTGGATGAAAAAGTACCCGTCGTTGGATGTGAGACTGAATGGGAGTGCGCCCGGTCGTTGTGTGATTCATCGGTAGGAGAACGTCCTGCACCAGCTGAAATGGCAATCTCATTATTCAAGCCCTGAGTACCATTAACAGAAAGCTCCCCTGCAGAGGGAATTTTGCGCTTCTTCTTGTTGTTCGTGTTCTCAAATACATCATAACCATCCACCGAGGACGTTGCAGAAAGCGGCGGTTGCGGATTAGGGATATCTGGCTTCGAGGATCGCTGAGTACCACGAGTCAAGATCTCCGGGGGTGATCTAGTAACAAGAGTGCTTCGCAAAGCCGGCTCTTCATCGTCGCCATCTGGCAGCCCCAGCCCATTTCGTCGAGGGGTATAGTTGCACCCCTCCTCCGCTCGACGAGTTTGTTGAGATGGGCTTGTAGAACATGCCCTTGGCGGGCTCGTGTCTTCCCTGAAGTTGTATGGTGGGTAATAAAAGAGAGGCGTAGTTTCGTGAGTTGAAGGAGGATACGCTATTGTATCTACGGTCCTCGGTGAGAGCTTCTCGCGCAGTCGACGTTTCGGTAACGGCCGAATCGGTCGGTCTGGGAACAGCGACGATACAGTATCTGGCGACATGTTGAGATTATGACCTGCGCGTGAACGAACATTTCTCGTTAGCACGTAGATCACCAGAACAATGAGGAGAATCGCCACAATTATAGGGAAGTTCGACATGGCGGCAGATGGTATTGGAAGATTTGTTGGCACCGTCAGAAGCTGCTCAGCCTTGATGGCAGTTGAAAGCAGTTGCAGGATCAACACCGGCTAGATTGGCAACCGACGGGCCAAATGCAAAACAAATGGAAAGCGTACCCATCGAACATTGTATAGGCTCTGTTCTAAACGACGACAGACACGACAGTCGAAGGGCAAGTGCTGCCAAACGAGGGGTCGGAGCTTGTACAATTCGTTGGCAGCAAACAAATTCAATACTGCAATACTAGTTATACAAGTCGTAAAGAAAACCAAAACCGTGATTTGCAAAAGACTGGCTTGTCTCTTCGAAGCTCAGAGGGGTAAACTTGGTTCGGTCGGGCTCTAAAACGTTCTGTGTGCGGGTCAGAACATATCGTCGATATCACGACTGAGTGTTTGGCACTGGCACGAGTACCAGCCTGCACCAGCTCGGCTCGTTTCGTACTTGTATCGATTCCTGTAGTAGGTATACGAATGGCTGCCAGACTCGCTCGCTCTTGGTCGCTCAAGGCCGGGGCTCGCTTACCCAGTCATGGACGGGGTGATGGAGGGGGTGTTCGCGGACACGAAGGACGCTTTGATATGAGCGCAGACGCCACAGCAGGCACAAAAGGAGACAAAATTTATGAGGCAAGAATTATCAAAGCGAGTAGCCAGAATAACACAATGCGAAGTCCGATAACGCCCTCAAGGTTGCTGTATTTGAGTGTGATTGAATCACCAACTACTAATCTGTGGAGGTGCTAAGGTAGGCAGGGCCCATTGGGAGGTGGCAGGTTAGGTAATCAGACTGGCGCCTCCAATACTATTGACCATGACTGTCCCGCCTTCCCGTCTTCTCCAATTCCTACTGACAGCAGCCACAAGAAAAAAAGGTCGACTATAGACTGGTGTTTACGATTTTGAGCTTCAACTGTACATTTACTTTTATGTGTAAACCCATCCTGAGTAGTCTATACTGGACTGGAGCATTGTGAAACAACTGTTTTGTGGCTCACTCGAACAACATGGAATTCAATATTTTCCTGATGTCACTCGTCAGGAAATGCAGGGCATGCATGGTAGGGCAATTAATATGGAAACAGTCTCTAAATGATGCGGAAACAAACCGCTCTCAGAGTCTCATACCGGAGCCGGCCAATAGCCATCTGATCACTGTGATGCGCTGCACCTCAGCGGTGAGTGGGTACTAATTTTGCCTGACTAAGGTAGCTTGGCTGCGCCAGTAAGAGACTTTCGTGAACCCCAAAAGACCCCTGTATTCGGAGCTTGTTAGTGAGCTCAGTCTGCACAGTGAGCGCTATAACTTTATGTCCTGCAGGTGGGTTTGTAGTGGTTCCATCGGCTTTTGCTTTGGGAAGTATCCCAAGCAAAGTGAGACCCGCGCCCACCTTCCTGCCCACTTTCCCACACCCATCCCATGCCCATGCCCATGCCCGTGCCCGCGCTTCTTCTGGTTATCCTCTTCCTCCTCCTCTTCGTTCCGAAGAAAGCTTCCACCCACTCGTCTCTCTCTCATACTCATTGTTACGGCATCTCTCCGTGTCATGACCACGGCGTTTTTACTCGGTCTCGATATGCTTGCTTGCCAATCCGTCCTTCGATACCCTCGCCCTTACTCGACATTCTTCTTTCAGTAGCCGCACTCATCGCTGGTCACTACCCAGCTTCGACAATCCTTATTCCTTGCTCAGCACCACCAATTCTCGCGATTTCCTTTCCTCTCAACTTCTCGATCGGCGCTGGGAAGAACATATCTACTCTATTTTATTCCACGCGCCGTTGTTGGTTCCGACACCCTATCCCTCGTCCTCTTTCTTCCATTTTCTCCTCTGTCACCTCAGATCGGTGACCCGGCTCCCTCAATGGCACCACCCTCGCCGCGACGGTCATCAAGAGCCCGCGCCACCAATTCACAATCTCAACAGTCATCTGTATCCTCAAGCACGTCTGGTCGAGTTGAGCGGAATACGAGATCAGTCGCCAAACCCTCCTCCAACAAGTCCACACCCAGTGCCTCTTTGTCCTCGGAGCCGTTTGAAGATCTTGACGATACCCTCCTCGGTCGAAGGCGAAAGCGCAACCACGAAGACGAAAACGAGAAGACCTCGAAACCCGATAATTTTGAAATGGCGAATGGCAGTGACGACCTCCAAGAAGAGGAGGACGAAGCCGTGCGATGTATCTGTGATGCAGAAGAATACCCGGGCCGCCCACCCGTGGAAGGTGCCGACCTAGATTTCTTCAATGCCATAGAATTCACTGAAGACGTTACCGGCTTCTTCGTTCAATGCGACATTTGTAAGGTCTGGCAGCATGGCGCCTGTGTCGGAATCTTCAGCGCTGAGAGCTCACCCGAGGAATATTTTTGCGAGCAATGTCGCAAAGATCTCCATAAAATATACACTGCAAGCAACGGGTAAGTCGATTTCCCAGCATGCTTTTTGGCTGGCAAGATGGATTTCATGTTTGAAATTTCTGGCTGCTTGAATTCCTGGACAATGTTTGTTGTGCGGCCCTCCTACGAACCTGAGTACTGACAAGTTTGTTTTCAGCCAAAAATGGTCCAAGTATGTCCCCCATAACCGGCCGTCGCGCGCAACCTCTCGAGCCGCCTCAATTGCTAAGGAAGGCAATCGTTCACCCAAGACTGGCACGAGCAAGAACTCGCGCCCAACTTCCGCCTCACAAACCTCAAAACGTCGATCCACAATGAATAGCCGCGACCGAGCTTATGAAGACGAGCAACTCCTGCGCGCCATTGAAGCAAGTAAAGAAGATGTCCCTCAAGATGGACAAGAAATCATGACCCGACGAGCGAAACGGGGACGAAGCGATAGTGAAGAGTCAATCGCCGTCAATGCTCGGCCACGGGATGAAAAACTGGCATCACTAAGGAACCCGTTAAGTGTAAAGCGACAGAGAACTAATTCGATGTCACCTTCACCTCCCACTGAGCCGGTCGAGGTTCAAAGTTATAATGAATCAGATGAGGAGGTTAACACTCGAAATGGAGCCAAGAAAGCTCGTAACAGCAAGAACCAGCGAACCAAGACGGAGAAGGAAGATAAAGAGCGCCAGCGACAGGAAGCTGCAGATAAAAGGAAAGGCCGCGCAGAAAGGCGACGAGGAGAGGGTAAGTTGGACCGTACATTCTGATCAAGTATGGTACTAATCATTGTATAGATTCTGACCCTTCAGAGGAAACACCTCCCGCCGTTGCTAAACCTCCAGCTACCAAAAGCATCGAGGTACCAGTTATTATGGAAACCCCTGCACTTGCGCCGCCCGTTCCCGACACACCCCCTGCGAGCAACCAGACCGTCTCAAGCACCGCCAAGCGCGGCGGCAGAGCTACACATAAGAAGGGCAAAGGCAGAAACCAATACACCAGGGATCGCGATGCGGATGGCGAATCCCCAGCACGATCCATGTCACGGGACATTCAAAAGAACGGCGAAGAACCCACCCCTACACACACGAAGCCCACAAGTGAACATCGACATGGCAAGTCAAAGCCCGCCTTACACCACAAGTTGAATATGGTGGATATGAAGCGGCGTGTCGGTGCCATAATGGATTTTATTTCAAGGACCCAAGTGGACCTTGCAGCGGAAGCAATCCCAGGCACGAACGGAAACGCAAGCAACGGAGAAGCATCACCGCAAAAGTCCTTAGATTCCCATTCTGTAGAGAATGAGGATACAGCAGGCTCTTCTGAGGGCAAAGATTTCAAGGATCTGAACTGTATAGAGATGATGGATGTCCTGACACGAGATATGGTCAAGTGGCAGAATCAGTATACCTGACGGCAGCATTTTGTTTCAGTAGGTCCATCATAATGAGACAAAAGGGACCTGCGCTCGATTTCTTATTTAAGGCGTTTCCGGTTAGGTGCATTCAGGGGCGTCACCAGCATCCGCAGAAGATGCAACAGGCAAAGCTGTATGAGCTTGTCTATACTCTGTGGTCGATGTTATTCTTTCAATGGAACCACTTCACGAGGCGAAGCTGGTGTTCCGGCTACCTTTCTACATATACCCTAGTACGGCCCGAGGGTTCGGTCATTGGCGTCTTTGCACAATATTGAGAGACATGGTAAAGGCGGGGAGGAGGACAACTCGAATCAAGTTTGGCACGAGATGGCAGAATAGGCTTAAATAGTGTACATGGAATATGCTCTAGTATACAACGTATGGTACGGAAATGAATTCCTGAGCATGCTAGGCGCCTGCCTTCTCTTGTGCAATTGCCTGTTTCTTCTGTTTCTTTGCTTGATTTAGACTTAGAGGAGGGTTGTCTATAGACTGCTGATGCTTCTCTGATCCCTCGTCAGATACATCGTCCAGCACAAACTTGCCCATTTTCCCATGTCGCCATAAATGTAGGATTCTGGTAGCAGCCGATTGCAAATCAGGAACGCCTTTTAGCTTTATTAGGCCGTCTTTCAAAGCAACGGCGGTAAGGAACTCATGAACATCGTTGGTGGGTTCGCAGTATCTCTTATACAAGGTCGGCTTGAAGAGGTTCATCCGGTAGAGGAGGTAGTCTACCAGTATCTCGGTTGGTATTAACCCGTCCTTTATGCCCTGGACGAGCGCAAATTTGAGCATAGCCTCGCCGTCACGAACGTAGGGCGGGAAGACGCCGGGGGTGTCCAACAGAAATGCTCCATTTAGGCCTACGCCCTCACTCTTCCACTCTGGGTCGAGGATGCGCACATTTGTGCCCATTTTGCGCGTCACGCCTGCTTGACCTCCAGTCTTGGCTACCTTGGGGGATTTCCTCCGTATGCCTTGGAACCGTAGAGCGTTGAGCACTGAACTCTTGCCGACATTGGGCACTCCGACAACTATGGCCCGCAAACCGAGTATTGAATCTTGCGCTACAGCAGCTCTCTTGATCATTTTGAGTAACCTATCTGTCGTAGAGGGTCTGTGCTTGTCCCAGAAGATGATATTATCACCGTAAATCTTGCGCAGTGTGTTCTGGAGATTTGGTGTGTCTGTTGCGTAATCGCATTTTGTGTAGATGATGATTCGTTCGTTACCGCCTATGATGCGATCTAGATTGGGATTGTGTGATGTGAAAGGGATTCGAGCGTCGCGGCATTCGAGAGCAAGAGAGATATGGCTCTTCATTTTTGTCATCTCGCTGAAGCCCTTGGCATGATGGCCAATATAGTACGTTTTCGGTATCGAGTTCGGTACGACAAAACTTTGCCGAGGGACAAACTGTGCCATTGTGTCGATTCAGTATGATTTTGTGGTTGTATGTCGTATGCAAAAGGGAATTGAAGAAGCGCCGTTGCCTTTTGAGTTGGGTATCGTGGAGCATTGAGATGTGATAGGATGAAGAGGACCCTGAAAAAGAGGACATGATGTAAATCTGATTGTCAGCCTCGTCTTAGTGCCCCACCATGTTCAGCCTCGCCCCTCCGCACGTGTCGATAAGAGCTGGCGATAAGAAGAATTACGTCATGCGCAGCTCTCACCATCGTCGAGAACCTGTTTGAACCAATTGATATTGGAGAATTGCCCACGCGGGTTAGGACAAAGCATGGAGAGACACAACCAAGTGCCGCCTCGCCCTTTACGGCACCGTCAAGGGCAAAAGGTTGTAGAAAGCCAAGGAAAATCGCCAAAGCCAAGAAAAAGCCAAGACTGGGCTTGAGCTTTTTCACTGAACCGAAGCTATGGCGAGACTGAGAGAATAATAAGTTGACTCAAAGCCCCCGGGACCAGGCGAATTCCCAACATGTGCTTCAAATCATTCGCAGAAACAACAAATTCTGTCTTGTCACTTGTATCAGGACCGACGTGAACAATGGCTGGGCCAGAGCCTATCCAAGACACTATCAATGTTGAGCGGACGCCAACGTTCGGCTCTGGAAATACCATCACACAAAACACTCAAAATGCCCCAGCTGAGGATGATGCCTCGGGTCCTACAAATGGAGGCGGGCGAGCATCCAGATACTTTGCAAGAGGTGGAAAACTTCGACCCTTTCGACTGCTGAAGGAAGATGTTATCAATCTCAAGAGTCGATACTTATCAGATTGGCAGGTCTTCAATCAACAGGTGGTTGCAAGTGCAGTCTATATCTTCTTCACAAACCTTCTTCCCGGTATCACTTTCGCCAGTGATCTATACACGTTGACCGGCAAGTCGTGGGGGACCATCGAGGTTGTGTTCAGCACTGGACTTTGCGGCCTCATTTTCTCTCTGTTAGTAGCATGTGAATACCCTTCTACACCGAGACATACTGACAAGAGCTCCTAGTTTCTCGGGTCAACCTCTTACGATTCTGGGTGTCACAGGCCCATTCTCGGTGCTGGCCGAGAACATCTACGAACTATGCGATACACACTTTCATGTAAGTCGATAATACAGTGCATGTATACTGGTGGCCATCAGCTAACACCTCCCAGGTCGAATTTCTGCCAGTCATGGCATGGTCCCTCATCCATGCTGGTTGGATGCACTATCTACTTGCCATCTTCAACGCGCATGACTGGACCATGCAATATGTCACCCATTTCAGCGCCGACATCTTCTCACTTCTCAACAGTGTCATCTACTTCCACAAGGCGGCAATGGAGCTGAAGCGAACCCACGCTCGAGTCTCCCTCGCTGCCTTTCTATATGCTGTTCTTGGAGCGGTGGGAACATGTCTCCTGGCCATTCTGCTGTCCACCGCAAACTCGTGGAAGCCTATGTTCCATCGGTACGTTCGACTTGGGCTTACAGAATATGCTGCTGCTATTTCCATTATTATCTGGATCGGAATCCCATATATCGGGGAACTGGCATCATTAGATCATATACGGCTCGAAGTCCAAACCAGCTTTCGACCCACAAACCCAGACAGAACGACTTTCTTTGTTCGCTTCTGGGAGATACCTATCGAATGGGTCTTCTTGTCCATGATTCCGGGCGCCATCGTCACGGTCTTGTTCTACTTTGACCACGAAATCAGCAGCATCATCTGCACCGTAGAACGATACGGGACCAAGAAGCCAGGCGGATATGCTTGGGATGTTGCTCTCTTGGGAACCACTACCATCCTTTGTGGTATTCTTGGTATTCCTCCGGCAAACGGCCTGTTACCTCAAGCACCGCTTCACTCAGAATCGTTGATGCATTATGTCATTGAGAGTCCTCCTGCGGAAGAAGGGGAGCAGCCAGATTCGCCTCGACCAGTCGCAAGGACATATGAGCAGAGATATTCTCACTTCATTCAAGCTTCTCTCATTCTTATCTTTGTGTCTCCCCCGCTACAAAAGCTTCTGGGTCTCACACAGACATCAGTGCTCGCTGGCCTGTTCCTCTTCATGGGTTACCAGTCTCTATCTGTCAACCCTATTCTTGAAAGAGTTGTAAACCTACTCACACCGCCATCTGATCTCCCTGCCCTCCCTGATAATGTTAGCTGGTTCGGTATTCACATGTACACAATCGCACAGATCATCATAACAGGCATTGTTTTTGGGGTGACCCTGACAGTTGCGGCCCCTGCATTCCCTCTGATCATCATCGCTTTAGTTCCCGTCCGATTATCGCTCATGAACCGCGTGTGGAGCCGTGAGACGTTGCGATTAGTGGATGGATGGGCTTGTCGGGAGGGCAAACCGGAGGATTCGGATTCAGAGACGATGCAGGTGCAAGGATCTGGGGATGAGGAGAAGGCTGGTGTTTGATTTGACATGAATGCTTCAGAGAGGAGGTGAGACAACATATTGCTGCTAGTAACAGGGGTCAGAATATCCATATACAGATACACAAAGATTAGACTTTGCATGAAACCCATATGAAGTACGGAGTAGATTCATTCGTCAGCCCATGCGTGTCCCTAGTGTCTTTCATACGATAATAAGACTACCCCGCAGAAACTGCACTTCAGTTCACTCTTCTCTCTAACATCAACTCTCTTATTCAAAACATTCGAGTGAGCGACTGCAACGCTGATTCATATAACAGTTGGAGTAGGGATCATACAGCCCTGAAAGATACAACTTGCGTCATTGGGCCCTCGCTGGCGATCGGATCACCAACAATTTAACAACCTTAAAGTGAAACACTTCTAGTCAAAAGGAATATGACAACGTCTGTGCAGGGGAAATCTGCGCTTGTCACTGGCGGTGGCTCAGGTATACACATGCCAAATACATAGACATGCAAGGAATTATATTGACTGACCATGAAGCACAGGTATCAACTTGTGCTTTGTCCGTATACTCCTAGACAATGGATGTTCGGTCCTCGTTGCCGATCTCAAATTACGGCCCGAAGCTCAACAACTCCTGAAGCAATATCCGTTCCCTGGCGTTGACGGCAAAGCTGGGGTCTTGTTTCAAGAAACCAACGTTGCATCTTGGCCACAGTTGACGGCCGCTTGGAAGAAGGCCTTGGAGAAGTTCACAACTGTCGATATTGTTGTTCCAGGAGCCGGTTTGTTCGAGCCTCAATGGTCCTCCTTCTGGGAACCACCCAGAACTGAGAGTAACGAGGATAGTGTGTCTCGAGATGATGCCAATGCGGAACCTGGACACTATGCAGTCTTGGATGTGAACTTGGTATCTCCCATTCGGCTCAGTCAACTGGCTATCGGGCATTGGACAAAGACGAAGCAGAAGGGATGCATTGTACATGTTGGCAGTATGGCAGGCTACTTAGCTGGCATAGCAACACCCTTGTACTTTGCGAGTAAGCATGGCTTGCATGGGTTTGTGAGAGCATTGGGGGGATTGCGTGATGAACTCGGTATTCGAGTCGGCTGTATTGCTCCCGGTGCAGTAGAGGTAAACTCACCAAGTCTTTATGAGCCTTTGGATGACTGCTAATGCATGGCTACCACTAGACTCCTCTGTGGCATGAAGATCCAACCAAAGCAGTCATGCTAGACGAGGATACAGTTCTGATAGACCCTCTAGAAGTGGCTCGAGGCATGTGGCAACTTGTCGTCAACCCAGAGCATGGCAATGGCACCATCCTCGAAGTGACTAAGGGGGAAACGAGAGTTGTGCCACTCTTCAATGCACCAGTTCCGACAGGTGAAGGCATTATGGTACCTGGGTATGAAGCTTCTAAGGACGCTCTGTATGCGAAGCTAAAAAAAGAGGGCTTGAATGTATGAGTGACGATGTATCACCGAAGTCCTCATCTCCCAGACTGCCGTCACATTGTTGGATGGGCATGAATTGGATACCTCATAAAAAACTCTGCACAGCCTCAGATACGCAGCAGAATATTTATAGATACAGTGACGTTCACCGACGCACTTGTACGTCCTGATCTGTGCTTCAGATTACGACACAAGCAAGCCACAGGCGGATCCATCACAGATCTCTAGTCAGCCTTCCCTGCGCATGGATCAGATCAAGGACCGTGAATATTAAGGATCTGGGTTCAATTCTTCATTAGCCTCATATCCAATAACAAGAGGGAGACTTCCCTCTAGTAACGGAGCTTTGGCCAATATCTTGGCATGTTGTCTCCAAAAACTCTCCTCGTTTTCTCTCAAAACAGAATCACCTATCTGTACAAATTCCTCTTTATAAATAGATGTGTAAAATCCAAAAGGGCATCCGCAGCGTGCTCCTTTCTGTCACCTCCCAAGAAATTTTGAAAAAAAATAGCCTTGTAACTCTCACAAAGAAATAATAATCTGAGATGATTCTCCGCATAGTAGTAGCAGGGGCCGTTCAGGTGATGGTGGCAAGTAATAAATGACAAATAGTGACATGAAACCCGTAAGATGACCATGATACACTGCATTGTAGTATCATAGCGCATAGCATAGACAACTAAAGCAATGCCAAACAAGAAGAAAACAAATCCATAATTCGCACACCGGATAAGTGAGCTCGCGAAACGAGTTGGGTATCTTGATGAGCTGCCTTCACCATACTGCACTGCTCTTGATTCCTTCTCCCCCCATTTTCCCCTGCTCCACTGCAGACACCCTTTCCCCCAAGACATGGGCTGAAAACATCCTTCTCGCTGCGCAGAAAACGGCTACGATAAAAGAGACGCGTTTTCAAAAGTGGTTGGACCGGCACATGTTATGCTGCTGCTGCTACTTCTGGCTCGATCGATAATAATAAAAAATAGGTGTAATGTGTTGTCTTGTCTCAATTTCCGGTCTTTGAATATGTAAATAGTTGAAAAGGAAAAACGGGGTGGCTGTCCAGCCATTATTGGCGAGTCGAGCACGGCAGGCGCATTTGGCTCTAGGTGTCGCATGAAACGTCGATCTACTTGATGTTCTTGAAAAGATCAGAACCCAAGCTTCCGTTGTCCTTTTCGAGATCGGTCAATTCGGGTATCATGGGAGGCGGGGGGCCGGATTGCTTCTTGGGTGTCGGTGCACGAGGACCTTCCTCCATAAACATGGTACTGGCTCGTTTGTTGGGGATCGTCTCTCCGGTCCTCATGCGTCTGAACCAGCCGCTGGTTCTCCTAGACTTGCGCTCGTCGAGGTAGCTTGCACCGCCCTGGCTGCTCGGCCGGGCAAGGCCGCCGGCGCCGGCGGCTGGGACACTTCCGTTCGATGATATCTGGCCCTCTGCATAAGTGTTATTCAACATGGTTCTACTGAATAGGCGACGGATGCTGCCTTGGCGGCTTGAAGCAGCTGGGCTCAAAGGAGCATCCTCGTCGGCGTAGCGTTTGGTTCCAGCGAGATTACCATTAGAAGAAGCAGTAATGCTTGGCTGAGGTGTGTTCTTGTTGACGTCCTCGGTGACACTGCTGTATGTATCCTGTCCTGGTTCCTTCTTGGATTCGTCCTTGACGTCTTTGGCGGGTGGCGGTGTCTGTGGAGGAGTTGGAACCTTCTGAACAGGTGATTCCGGAGGCGGTGGGATATTGGTGCCGTCTGTGATACTACCAAAGTTGAGGTTGAGAGCGGGCAGCTGGAATCGCGAACCTCCGCCGCTCTTGCCAAAAAGAGACGACATAATGGAAAAATAAATCGGTGATTCGTGCACGATACGATACGAGGCGGATCGGACGGAGAATGGAAGAAGGCAGGTCGATTCGATGGCGAGGGCCCGAATTCGGAAAGGGGTATTCAGCAAAAGAAGGATAGGCGAAGCGAGGGCCAAGGAGCTCAAAAAGAGAATTGAAATGGCAATCAAAACTCTCAATGAAGCTGTAATTGATGACTGGGATCCAGCAAGCGGGTTTAGATGACGAAGCTGAGTCTCAAACTCCCCGCAAGAACAGGGCGAAGAGAAAGGAGAGTTCTAGTCAACGGCTTTGACCTGACCAGGATGAAGAGGTACCGCAGAATAACGAGGCAAGGTACAGACGCATCCAGCACAGCACAGTGCTGTAGCGTAGCGTAAGGTAAGGTAAGGTAAGGTAGAGGTGGAAAATTGGAGCAAGGGTCTGGTGGCTTGTGGTTGACTGCAAGTTGCAGGGATCCAACACGCGGCGTGGCGTGACGCTTTTGGTAACAAGGACGATGATCCCAGACGTGGGGAGCAATTGAGGCGATGAGTAGTTGATGTAGAGATATTATGAGGCTGTAGATGTTGTAGGATAGAAGAGAGGAGAAATTGAATGGAGAGGAGAGAGGGAGGAGTATGTGTTCAGAGGAGAAGAATTGGTGCAAGACCGGGTCTTAGGCTGGAGGAGAGAGCCATAGGAGGTACAGTACGACCTTCCTGATGTAAGTGGAGAATGTCGTGGCTGGCAGCGAACCTAATAAAGCTACTTTGGGGGTACTTCGAGGTTCGAGTGCCACACAAGTGTTTCCTTTTCAAGACCTTGCCCCTGAGAGACTGCAGTGAGCCCGCTCTTCCCTGGACCCTGCTGGAGCCACGCGAGTTGGGCGTCTTTGGGCACGCAAAGTACTGCTTGGTATCTGCGTTACCAGAAATGGTGATTGGTCTAATCGATATGGGGGATAGCGGTCCCTCTTGCAGCGTGTGGCTGTCAAGACTCAAAGGTACCTCTAAAGTACTGACCTTGAATCTTGGAAGCCATCATGCAATCACTCAAGACTACGGGACAGACCGAGACTATTGAAGAAAATGACACCGGATGGCGAACGATTCCGAAGCAACAAGGTTGAATCAACTCTGCTATAGACTCGTAATATATCGGAAACTAAAAAAAAGAATTAAAAAAAAATATATATAAAAAAGAAGCACCGATTGATCATTGAGTTGATCACACAATATTCAAAAGTCAATTCATCATATTCACTGCTCCCTTGCCTTTTCTCCCTTACAACTCCGAGAAAACACCCTTTTCCTAACGCCACAGACGTGTGTCAAGGCTCGATGAACCACCCATTCGATTGAGAGAAGAAACGTTGGCGCCAACATGTTTCAACCGGGCCTATATCAAACGGTACCATGTCGATAATTGTGACGAGCTGTTATCTGTCAACAGTGCTATACCATTGACCATATTCACAAGCTGCCTTGTTGCCGAGATTACTCTTTCAGATAGCTCGTATCTATCATCACAAGTACCTTGGCACTCGAGGCGCAGTTTCAACACGACGAACGATACGACTCGAGCAGCCGAAAGAAATTCTTGGTTGGACTGGATTGCGTTTCCACGGGAGACCAGGAACCCGCTCAAGAGACTAAAACATGTTTCACTCACGGCACGATTGATTGTCTTGCCTTTTTCTCTGTTAGAGCGATTCAAGATCGGACTATGGCTATCCTCCCTTTATGGTGCATAGGAGAAACAACCTAAGTTTATGTGATCTACCTTTTTACTAAGGTAGTCCTGGGACCAACCTCCAGCATTTGCAGTAAAAGACTCCGATCCCTCTGGGCCGTTTCTCACCATTGCGAGTCATGATAAGGGGAAGTATCGTCAAGTACCTCAATCTTCACGAACCGTCCAAGCTAGCGCAGCCAGACAATTCTCGTTCCCTATTCAAGCTGTAGAAACTCTGCCGCTATTCCCAATCTTATCTCTTGTGTTACCCGTCTCGTCGACATCTCCCGATCTAGGAAGGCCCCCGCGTTCCACAAACGCGGGAATGGATCCATCATCCCACCCACATTAAACGATTTGGGCCTCGAATTTGGACTTGGACCCTCCAGAATCTTCACAAGGTCCAGAAATTCTGTTTCTCCGGCTGGGGGTGCGGCCCCATTTAATCGCATAATCTAATTGGCTTGTCAACATTTCACGTCATAGAGCTTTAATCGTTTTGAACCGAGCTCGGTTGAACTTGTTTCGTCAAGCTTGAATCAAGCATCAACCTCAATTGAGGAAAGGTAATCAATTTTCTTATTTCAGTTCGACAATTGATTGTAGACCTTCATTACAATGTCTAGCTCGCAGTGTCTGCGCCTCAGGCCACTCGCCTTAGGCCTTGCAAGGCCTTCGGCTAAGCTCAGTGCTCAACATATGACCCGACTTCCCATGATCGCCGCACGATATAAGTCGGGTCCTTATGGCTACACACAGGCCAAGGCTCTTGTCTTCTCAAAGCCTGGAGACCCAGCCAAAGTTCTCAAGTATGTATATTTTATATCTCACCGTAGATAAGACTAACAACTGTCTATAGGCTTCACAGTCACTCTGTCTCCCCTTCTATTCCCTCGGATTCGGTCCTCGTCCGAACTCTCGCCGCTCCCATCAACCCCGCCGATGTCAACACAGTCCAGGGAGTTTATGGCTCTATGCCTCCCTTCACCAACTTAATTGGTACCGCTGAACCTTCCGCCATCCCCGGTAACGAAGGTGTTTTCGAGGTCGTTTCCACAGGCTCACCCTCTTCCTCGCTACAGAAAGGCGACTGGGTCATCCCCGCCATCGGCCAGTTCGGTACTTGGAGAACACATGCCATTGCTGAAGCCGATAAGTTTATCAAGATCGATAAGGAGGGCTTGACTCCTACACAAGTCGCGACCGTGAGCGTCAACCCATGCACCGCCTACCGCATCCTGCGACATTATGGACCCAGTGCTGGTCTTCAAGCTGGTATGGGCATGCGCCCCCTTGAAGTTGGCAGTGGTCAGTGGTTCATTCAGAATGGCGCCAACTCTGGAGTTGGACGAGCTGCCATCCAGTTTGGAAAGCTCTGGGGCTTGAGGAGCATCAACGTTATTCGCGATCGCGAAACACCCAGGGCGACTAACGCTTTGAAGAAAGAGCTCCAAGACCTCGGCGCAGATGTCGTCGTTACCGAAACCCAGTTCCTAGCTCCCCAGTGGAAGGACCAACTAGCACAAATCACCCGCAAGGGTCGTGAGGAAATCGGTCTAGGCCTCAACTGTGTTGGAGGCAAGTCAGCCACCACGATCGCTCGATCGCTCGGCAAAGGCGCTACTATGGTCTCTTATGGTGGCATGGCTAAGCAGCCAGTCTCACTACCCCTCGCTCTCCTTATCTTCAAGGATGTCCGTTTCCTTGGTTTTTGGCTCAGCAGACTCAATGAGGAGGATCCTACCGGCAGGAGACATGCCATCAACGATATTCTCCAGCTCATTCGATCTGGCCAGTTCCGCGACGTCCCTATCGAGGAGGTCAAGTGGGACTGGGAGACAGAGGAGGAGACTCTGCGCAATGCCGTGCAGCAGGGCCTTGAGGGATTCCGTAAGGGCAAGGGTATCTTCACATTTGGCGAGACATAAGCGGGATAAAAATATGTGAATAAGAGTATAACGTACATCGTGATTGGCTGGGCTGGCTGTTCCATTATGAACAGGTGAACCAGACCGCTGCAGAGTGTGATAAGTAGCCACTCCTTAAACCATGGTCCGAAGGGTATACAGATCCAAGCCCTCAACGAAATGAATGACAAATGCAAATAATCAGATCAGGTTTATTGCCTAGCAAAGCTGATATATATTATATGAACGCCCCAACTCCTTTTGCCCGTGTCATCAGCAATCATTCTATGCCCTGAAAGCCTGTGCCCACTCATGCAGCTTGTCAATGACAACAGGAGCGTAAGATGTTTGGGCTTCCTCAATGATCCGGTCAAAGTGACTCAGTGCCTCTTCTTCACTCAACTCCAAGTGGAAACGGTCTCGGACCTTGAGCACTGCCTTATCAGGCTCAAGTCGGATATCAGGGATGTTGGCATCGACCATGAGACTAAAGAGATTAAGGATAAGATTTGAATTTTTGCGTAGTGCCGTAAACGCAAGGAAGCAGTACTGCTTGAACTGCTTGTAATACTCTGAGTTCACGCCACCCATGCAATCCACCATCTCCTTGGACAGCTTCATCAGAGGCGCGAAAGGCTTGGGATCTCTGCCAAGAATGTAGCCGAAGTCGGCATGGAAGAAGTGGCCGTCAGGTGCAAGGAGCAAGTTCTCCAGGTGACGATCGCCAACGCCGAGGATATAAGTGATGACACAGTATCCTGCACAAGATCTTACGTACGTGTCCAGGGTTTCTTGTCGGACGCCAAGAGGTTGGTTGTCATCCGGATTGTTAATCTTTAGGTAGGCCAAAGCTGGGTTGTTTTTGAACTTGTTAGCGATGCTTGACAAGCTTTGGGATTGTACAAACTGCGAAGCGCCAGCAGAAGTACTTGTCGCCAGGATCTTGTAGGGTGACAGCTTGAGGTCAAGGTTCTCTTTCTGCAGCAGTTGATCCATAAGAGTGATGATCTGGATAACAAGCTGATCCTGTCTAAGATCATCGCCCAGCTTGAAGATAATGGCATAGGAGCTCCCAGTTGTTGTCCTGAAGGTGCACTTGAACGGGTTTAGTGAAGACTTGAACACAACTGTTTGATCTGGTATGATGCTCGTAATCAGTACTGAAGGGTCAAGTGGCATCGGTAAGGGCGGATCGAATGATAACAACTCGTTCTTGGGATCAGCCAGAAAGTGCTTAACTCGGTCGACCTTCTTCGGAATGGATTCATTCGACGTTTTGACCTCTTGAGCAATTCTCGAGAGAATAGCGACTAACTCTGCTTGGCGCAAAAGAGTCTTGCGCGTTTCCTGGCCATCTGGCTGTTTGACAAGCTCGGCCATAAAGTCGTATGCGACCTTGCGGTAGATGTTGCGGTTATCGATCCCTTGCTCAGGGCTGGCATCGTCACACTCGACCATAAGATACCAGTGGAAATAGTTGCCGAGCAAAAAGTTGGCAGCCGCACGCTGGATCAGGAAACGGGCCAGGGATGAATCTTGACTGCTTTCCTCTTCTGAATCTGCTGATATGTGCTCATACTTGAGCGCTTGAACAAGTTGAAGAAGATAAAGCAGAAGTTCCTTGTCGTCGGCTTTTCGCAATCTGTCTACAGCGTACGAACGCACAGCAGAGTTGTCGAAGGATGGTCCGAGGAGCTCCAGCGCATCGTCAACATCAATTGCAGTCCAGCGCCCGAGAACTTGAATAGCTTGTCTCGCCTCGCCCTGATCTCTCCAGTTGACAGATTTGACAAACTTTGTCAACGCTCTCTTGTCTCGTGTCAAGTGGTAACGGAATTTCCATACCAGATCTGCCTCCTCTGGGGTGAGAACATGAGTTGGAGAATATGACATTATGAGATTGAGCTCATCTCGAACCTTGGCATTCGGCTTCAAGTTCTTATCAATGATGCCGTGCCTATACGAGCTTCTGAATAGTCTTCGATGCTTGGCCTCTGCAGGGTTGTCTCTGTGTCCAACTTCAGGGTCGTA